TGGGCCAATGTGTTGCAAGGAGCTGCTGCTTCCCCTCAGTGATGCAACCAGGTTTTTTTTGCAGTCGCAAGCACGTACAAACATACTGCAGATAGGCCGATCTCTCAGCCTCACCTAAACTCTGTGTGTCCCTTTTGTGCCAACACTGACACACTTTTTGCCCAAGCCCCAATGAAGGCAATGGAAAGCTTCCCACTGGGTGCTGGGCTTTGGCCTGGATCCAGACATTTTCCAGCCTCCTGACACTAATATTGCTCAGAGCAAACACCCTGCAGTACAGCACTGCCTGCAGCCGAGCGAGCTGCCTTCCCCCAGCTCCTAAACTCACCAAGCTTTACTTCCTATCTGCTCTAAGTTAAGGAAACAATAAAAGAATAACATCTTGGAACCCCCCAGCTATGAGAGCCCACTGCAGAGGGGCTGAGAGCTCCAGATGAGGCTGGCACCGAAAGCAGGGCCAGGCAGCAGGGCTGTGGTCTGTGGGATGCAGCAGGCTCTGTGGATTGATGCCAGGCTCCAGGCAGACCCGTGCATGCTCAGAACCCAACCGCTGAGCAGAAAATGTTTATAGACTAAACTTCATCATAAACTTCATTTAAAATAAACATCAGCTTTGTATGGTGGGACAGTGCCCTTTTGAATGCTGCATTTTGCCATCGTCTACAAATACAGGACTACATGGATGCTCTGTGCCATAAATCACACAGAGCAATGGGATCCGTTTGGAATACATCCAATCACATCATTTCCCCCTTCCATCATCACCCAGAAAAGAGTATCACATCTTGGCTTTGACCAACATACAGATTGGAATCCAACATGCATGTACAATGCACTTATATTTGTCCCCTGAAGTTGCCACAACCCCACACCCAACCAACCACCACATCTGCTGTAAACCTCTTTGCTTTTCTTGAAGGAAAAGAACATTGCATGATTCAACCCCTGCTTCCTGACACAAGCAACTAGAAAGATACTCGAGCAAATATTGCTACAGCAGCAGAAACATCACATAATTCATGTCAAGGAATACGATGTACACATTTTTATGGGCTCCATAGATCATCGCCAGCCAATTTGACAGGTTAATTGTCCACAGTTTTTCTAGGAAAACCAAAAACTTAAAGCAACAAAACAAATGAAGAGAGTGGAGTGACAGTGCATAAAGCATCATGGGTTTATTGCTTGGAAATGTGCAGATTCTGATATGCTTCAGTTCACTCTAAAAAGGAAAAATTCTGTCTGGTCAAACTGCTCTTAGTACTACTTACAGTGGCTGTATTGTACACACAGCAAAAGAACTGCTTATAGAGCATAACTTCTGCAAAAAAAAACCAGCTGTACTTGACAAATCTGGGAACAAAACATTAATTAATCAAAGTAGGGAATAATGCTCAAGGGGTTTGTAAAGTCAGTGGAATATTCACATACTGCTAAGGGTCAGTGGTGCCACAGTCCATGCAATTAAATATAATGGAACAAAGTATACTAGATGTCAACATCCAGGAGAAAATATGGATGAAAGGGCTTTGGTTCTAATTAGTCAGCTTTTATGCATAACAGTTGTTTAGTAGTTATATTGTGGAAACGTGTAAGGACAGGTTTTGAGTAGCTGCTAAGCATTATAAAGGGTCAAGATTTATGCTAGAGTATGGAGAAGGGAACTGTCCCTGTGACACACTTTCGGTTATGATGACACTGTGGACACGTCTGAAAGCATCCCCAGGTGGTTCCGTGGTACCTGGGTGTGCTGCAGAGCAGGAAGGGCAGCACACAGCAGATGGGAGCAGAGAAATAATGGAGTGAGGCAGGAAGGGACCAAGAAAACTCTGCCTGAGACTTCAGTGGCAGCAGAGCTCTTTCTACAAATATGCTGATGTCTGCAGGCAAGAAAAAACATCAAGCTTTGAACTAGCTCGTTCATAGCCAATGCCTCAATGAAATTTACTCAACACCAGAAGTCCTATACTCTTAAGAAGAATAAACATTGCCTCAGAATTCATTTCTATGTTACCTCTCTCCATTCTTCGTTACTTCCCACCCTCACACTGACACCATGCCATGAGACCTCCAGACCTTCCTCGTGAAAAGCTGTAAAGAATAAAACCAGACCCTTTTGTTAGTAAATACACTTTCTAAATACAGGTCTGGACAATCCAGTCACTTAAACGTTCTGTAGGTAACAGTGGGTGTTTATTCCTGGACAAGGAGCACAGGGTTTGGCATTAATTGTAATCTCAAACATTTCAGTTATCCAAAAAAAAAAAAAGTCAAGTAGTCAAATAGTGAAAACGCCCAAGCCTCCACCAATTTGAGATAATTTACACAAACCAAGAATCTAAACTCATCAATTCTTACTGTAATTGTAACAGCTCTGTATTTACAGTGCAGCCTGAGCCCACTGGAGCCATCTGTAAGGCTTAATTTGATTTTCATAAGAGTTCAATTAAGCCCCAAAAGAGCTCACAGAACAGATTTGGGGGTTTTTAAGCAGCTACGACTGTAATAACAATTGAGCAGATTGCTTTAAAAAACAAAAGAACCCCCCCAGGGCTGTGTACGCGGCACGAGGGCTAGAGAAAGCATTACGAAGTAATATTTTGGGGAAAAAAAGAAAAACTAACTTCCAAGAAATATAATGGATTCATTACAAATATCACCAAAGCAGACAGAAGATCTCCACCATATCCTCCCCAGACATCCAGGTGACAGCACTTAGATAAATTAGTGACCCAAACCTGCTGGGACATCCATGAAGTTACTGAATTGAAAGTGTGTGACAAAAATACCCATAATATTTTCAGCATAGATAAAATGTGATAAAGCATGAAAGAGAACAGAGCGTGGTGAGATGCAGCCATCTCCCCTTTAACTGATTCACAGATAGCGGTAAATTATCAAGTGATGTTTATTAGTTTAATATTCAAATATGGTGAACAGAATCAAAAGACTGCTCCATATAAATGAGTGATTTTGAAACCCCTGAAATTACAATGCCAACTCGGCGAAGTGAAGTGCATTTGAACCCTACCTAGTCTCTTGTCATAGTCTTGCACATCTCACCCACAGCTCCTCCCAGACTATAACATTCAGGCACACAGATTTTGCTTCTCTCAGAGGAGTGCCAGGCTCTCAGAGGACCGGCACAGCTCCACTGAAATAAAATGACTGAGGCTAACGTGTACAGAGCACATGCCCGGCCCTTGCAATGAATTTCCCGTGGACCTATTTCTGCAGCTTTCAGATCAGCATAAAACCCAAAATTGCAGAATTTGGCCTCTACTCGTTTTGAGTCCTCGTGATTTGATGCCATGTGCTGAAGGGCTCAGCTCATCTCGGCAGGGGCTTTCCCCTCCCCCAGCATCTTTTGTTTGGTATAGACGTTAGGAAATAAATTAACGAGTTACGCGTGCTATTCTTTACAGCCAAAAAAAAAAAAGAAAAAAAGATTTTTTTTTTTTTTTCAGATAAATTTCTGAATCAGAAACCAGCAAAGATTCCTAATAAAAAATTATTACGCAAACCTTCGCAGTGTACTGAGTTTAAATCAGCCCCTTTACGTAAAGACCCCTTGCTTTAAAACGTGAAGTCAAATGCAAAAATAATGATTGTGACCAGAGTAAAAATCTCAACAAATCCAGCAGCAGACACTGCCGGTCCGCATGGCGTCCCACGGACAGCTGGAAAACCTGGCATCACCTCCACACAGCTCTACCAGTTTAATTCTGTGTGTAGTAAGCAGAGGAACACCGCAAAGAAACCCAGCTCAGTAAAAATTCAGCGTTTCCCAGATCTGAAGGTATTTCTTCAAGTGTAAAAGGAGGACTGCTGATCTAGAGAAACTAAGCGAACACCCCATCCAAAAGTATGAACAGTGTGCAAGACCAGAAATCTTTACCCACAAAGATTATCTTCTGCGTTATCATTCACACTTGTTTTTAATTTTTTCAATATTCAATTTTAATTTTTTTTAATTGTTTTTTTTTGTTTGTTTGTTTTTCAGTTTATACTCCTGAAGGACCAGGTTGGTGCACAATTTTGCAGGACTCAGATAAACAACCTGGATACCATTCTTACCCCCACAAGATTTGGATTAATTTGGATACAGCTTTGACAAACATTAAATCTCTTCTTTAATGACGTTCCTCAAACAAAACAGTTAGCAAAATATCTGAATTTCCTTGTATAATGTCACATTTTAATGTAAACATCAAATAATGTACCAAAAGTTTTACTGGAAAAAAAAAAATTAAAGCGGCACAATTCTTGATACCACTGGAGAAGGGGGAGGAAAAAGCCAGATTACAAACATTTACACATGCATAATGGAAAAAAAATTAAACAAACAAAAGAAATCTTTTACTAAATTCACGCAATTTGTTTTTTAAAATAGTTATTAAATCTACTAAGCACCAACATACCTAAAAATTTCTTTTCAGCTTCATGATTCATTTAAAAAACCTATCAAATTAACTTTTCAAACAAGCTTATATTACCAGCTTGTCCAAAAATAAAATGTCATTTTTTTGGGTTTTTGGTTTTGTTTCTTTTTTTTTGTTTGTTTTTTTGTTTTTTTTTTGTTGTTGTTGTTGTAGTTGTTGCTGTTTTATTTTTTTTTTCAGTATAGCAATACTTTTTATCTGAATGTTTCCAAACAATGGCATAGGTGTCTGCAAAGAATGCCTTTACTTTACCCTACAGTGAATGGAAAATACAATACCACATCATACAGGATCTAAAACTATAAAAGTCTGAGAATGCAGCATCCCTTCACAAAAAAGCTGATAAAACTGAAAGTATTTAGAAGATGCTGCATCTTTATTAAAAAAAAATTAAATGAATTTAAGCAGAAATAACATACATTTTTACATTAACTGGCCATTTCTGGTACAGAAATCCAGCATAGTATGCTAATGTTATTGAATAAATGTAAATGCTACTTACAATCTTTTTAAATACAATTTAGACAAACTTTTTTTTTTCCTTTTTCTTTTTTTTTCTTTTTTTTTTCTCTTTTTCTTTTTTTCCTCTTTTTTTTTTCCTTTTGAAGTTTTACAGGTAAGCTCTCAGCTGCTAGTTTAATGCAACAAACACATCATTAACATTACACAAATTAAAAAATAATGTGTGTGTTTTCCTACAGAAAAGCTTCCAAAAAAAAAAAAAAAACGACCCACATCAAAAAATGCAAAATAATGGAATACAATTTAAAAAAATTAGTTGCAAGTCTAGCAGCAAAGCAATTAGGTGAGGATATATTTACTAATATAAACAAAGGGAATATTTGCAACTACAGGTGAAGCCCCAACTATCTTAGATCTACTGACACAAATAAAAATTAAGTTCTCTCTAAAAAAAATAATCTGATTATTTAAAATAGGAGTAAAAGCCATTGCTACCTGATGAACTACCTAGGCTAAGTTCCTGAAACAAAGACAAAGGGTCACTATTCTTTTTTGTCTGCTCAGGAGGAGGTTTGGGCTTCGGCGGAGCCCGCAGAGCACTTGCGTAGGACATGACAGGTTTGCTCCCACCAGCGTTCTGCTGGCTGGTGCTGTTGGATTCCATGATCTGCTTGTTGGGCATGAGAGGTGGGAACTGGCCGAGATGCTGCAGCACGTTGTAGTTGAAGGAATTGGAGAGCTGTATGTTTTCAGCCTTCAGGTGCTCCTCTGGAGGCTTGACTGTTTTCAGCGGAGCTGGGAAAAGAGAAAGCAGAGTGTCAAGTGAATAGCAGACTTCAGAAATCCACTCCCAGGAAGCTCAAAGGGGCACAGAGGGATACAGAAACTACCTCTGTTGGTAACCTTTCCCTCAACCGATTTTCTCTGTATAGTCCCTCTTTGTCCAAGGAAATTTCTTCTTCAGTTACCCAGCTGCACTCCCAGCTACTGGCCCTTGTATGGCCTTGCCAGCAAGGCTAATTAGACTGACATCATTGAACATATCCTCCATGCACGTGTACAGACAGAGTTGGTAATACTGAACCTGCAATACTGCACAGATGGAAGGTAAGCTGCTTCAGAATGGGCTATACCCTAATTTAGACATTTCACCCACTGAGACAGCACAAGGAGCATTTCATTTTCCTTGGTTTACACCATAAAAGGCTCAAATTGCAATCTGCAGCACCACATGTAATGCATTCTCAAGCAGCAGCTTGGCCTTCTGAATGCCACCCAACTTAATGATATTTTTGTCTAAGTGCGTTTCCACTGATTGATACGTTCTCGTTCCACATTTAACAACTTCTTACTATAAGAAAAAACAGTTCTTTAAACCATAGGTATAAAACTGCCTTCAAGTGGATTTCTTGAATCTTAATAAAGCATCTTAATTTTACCAGGGGAATTCTGCTGTCTTATACAGCTAGAGAAACTACACTGAAATGCAGGTATTTATTACAGATAAAAAATCTCAGCAGTTGAGGAACAGATATATTCTGTAGTTATTTACATCTTTATACTCATAATGTTATTTTGAAGTGCACGCACAAGAATGTACGATCAAATGAGTACAAAATCAGAAGTATGCAGTTCTGTTTCTCACTGGAAGGGTTGTGCTCACCCTTTTGTTTTTGATGAAGTACTGAAAAATACCTTAGAAGAATAATGGGGAAAGAACATAAGCAAAACATTTTTTACTAAGGTTGCTGTGATTCGAAACAAAACTAAGATTAAAAAACAGCAAATAAACAACAGCATATCCACAGAACAACAGCACACCCATAGAACACCAGCAAAATGCCCCCTCAGATAAGCACTAAGAGAAGAAAACCAGCAAGTATGGCCAGAGGTGAAAATGAGGCATTGGAGAGATGAAAATATGGAAAACAAAACAAAACAGAAAACCCACACATTGAACAAGAACTTAAATCCCTATCTTTCTATCAAGAGAAAGAACTCTGCAAATCAAGCTCTCAAATTGCAATTTTGAGAAGTGCCTGCTTATAACAACACCAAGCAATTCATAGCAGCTCTCTCTGCACTCTCCATAAATCCAAGCTGATAGAACTGAATAGCTGAGCCACAGCCATTTCTGATGTACAGGGAATATAAGTCCTTGAACTGTCTGGTGTCACAAGTGCTCACTCCCAGGCAGTGAATACAGACACAGGACTGGTTCATAGCTTCCCATCCTTGTGGATTTTTTATCTCATGGATATAAAAGTAACAGTAACCAGAAACACTTCAGTTACTAGTCATTAACTTTCAGCACTACAAAGCCCATTTGGCCTGTAAATATTATCATCATAGAGAGCTGCAAATGCAGAAAAGCAGAGCATTCATAAAGATGGGAGATTTCTTTCCACGAACTGTTAAATAAAGGGTCAGGACAACACTGCATATGCATATATCTACAAAACAGAAATCATGCTTAACCAGAACAGAGAACACATTTACAGGAAATGCAGGTACAAGTCAAAACTTCTCCCTTTACTTTAGCATTTATTACTGGACAGCAAACATGCAGGTAAGCCACTTTATATTTATAGGTATTTCTTCTGAGGATTTTACTCATTAACATGTTCTTCATCTGTAGATTAAAGCAACAGAAGGTGGTATCAACAGATCCCAACATAACCATGTTAGGGTTCCTGAGCTCTTTCTATCAGTGACCCCAGAGTCTACAGAACAATGCCAGAAATGGACACCACCCTTGATGAGAATATCATGCATTCAGTTCTTTAATTACCTATTAAAAGTATGAAGAGCCTGAAGGATGTGCCTCAAGTTTGAATCTTTTAACTTAGCACAAAAGAACTTAACCTAAATAGTCTACTTAATGGAGTGGAGAGAGAAGCAAAGATTGAGTCTGTACCTACCTAACAACTCCCGGTGTGGAACTGCTCTGTTGGCTCCATTGCATGGAATGTTTGGGTATGGGGCAGATGAGGAGGAGTTTACCCACAACTCAGGCGATGAATAGTTGAAGGATGACTGATTACTGTGGTCCTGAAGCTCTTTACACTGACCAAGACTGTCTTGAGGAGTGCTTAATTCTTCAGAACAAGCCTGGACTGAACTAGAGGAAATTCTTCTTTGGTACAACGGCCTGCCTGGTCCTCTTGGTTCATACTGCAAAGACAAAAGAGAAAAACAATAAAAAAGACCCTTTAGTCCTTTTATTCAACTTTATGTAGCAAATGCCATTTTCCATTCCAATTTTTTTCCATTCCATGTCTTGAAAGAAAAAAAAAAGCATATTTAGGAAAAAAACAAACTAATGCATTTCAAATATGTTGTATAATATATGTTGTATGTACGTACACAGATGATGTACTTTAGCCACACAAAACAGATGGAGGATGTGTAAAGTGCTTTAACTAAGATTCCTTTTCTTTTCAATTTTTTTTTTTTTTTTTTTTTTTTTAAATCAACCCTTATATCTTACACTCCTACACAGGAAATGTGTCACAGAATGGTGAGAAAGACATTCAGCGTTTACACAAGATATAAAGGAAGCACAAAAACATATGAGAGCAAGAGAAAGTTCAATTCTGAGATCCAAAGTTTAAAAAAATGGAGATGTACACTTGATTTCATGTAAATGCAGACAGAATGAAGGCTCTGGAGAAGTGCAGAACTTCAAGAAAAATAATGCAAAAAATTGAATTTTATCTGAAACCACAGAAATTACTTCCTTCCAAAAATCCTCTCAATCATGTAAATGAAAGTGGCAGAATCTCCATTAACTTGTTGGTTTCAAGATTCAAAGAACCACTAGGCTTTCTAGGGACTCAAAGTAAGCCAATTGCATTATATTTTATTTAAAAACAAACAAACAAAAAAACCCAACAGCATTTGCTTCCTTCTGCACTAGCAAGAGCACAAATAACAGAAAAATCATGGAAGCACTCAGTAAAGTGGAAATGCAAACATTCTAATGAAATGTCAAAAAACAAGCTAAGAAGTCTCAACTAACTTGCTTGCAATGCACCAATTTGTTGTATCACCTACAAAACAGGAAAAACTAGTGCACTCCTATCACAACTACTAAACTACAATATATCCTATAACGTCAGTAGAAACAAAATTTGTAAGTTATGGCCTGGAATAAAGCCAAAAGCCCTTCCTTTTATTAAGTTTAATGGTCAATTTCGTATTTTTGGTAAGTGATTGGGAAGTTATCAAAGTGCAGCAGCTGGAAAGTTGCCTGGCTGCAAAAGACCTGGCAGTGTTGGTCAGCACTTGGCTGAACACAAGCCAGGACTTTTCCAACCTCAATGATTCTATGATTCTATTCCCTTTGGTATATTCAAACATGGCTTAACTATACACATAAAAAGCTTTCAAGCCCTCCTGAAAACTGTACAAGCTAGTCCTGTCTTGTAACACCTTTACAACATTTTGCATTTCTGTCACATATTTTCAAAGGAAAAAGAAATGAGAAAGAAATAAGAAATAAAATGAATTTGCTCTGATTACATAAAGACTCAATCTATTTGTCTTCAGATAGCAGGAGCTGTCACAAACTCTGTAGGAATATTTAATAGTTTACTGCTGAAGAGCCATTGTTCTTATGTCCCGCTGTACTGACGGCATTAAATGCTGTCACAAAGTATTAGATTTTATACAAGGTGATATAGCTTAATGGACTGAGACAAAGAATTTCTAAATGCCTATAAATCCAAATCTTACTACAGCTCTAGCTGGGCCTGAGGACTGCATTAACCTCTGTGGATCTGCAGAAGACAAAAATTTGTAAGATGCACCAGAATTCAATTTTAGTTATTTTTCTCAGGTACATAACCAGAAAGATTTTTTCTACTTCCAGAAATCAAAAAGGCAATGAAATATGTATTACATTGGACAGCAATGAGCATAGATACCACAGCTACTTTAAATACCCTCACAGAAACGTATCGCAGAACAGGCCACTTAATTTTATGTAAAAATATTTGATCACATGCAGTCGGTCCAAGATTATCTGAGAGTATTAATTCTGCCCTTCCTTTAATGCAGCCAGGCTCCAGCACTCCCTATCTGTGTACCATACATCCCTTAGCACTCTGAATTCCAACAGGGTTTAAAAATCTCTGTCCAAAACACAATCTGTCCTAGCTGTATGTGCTCACAGTCTCCAATGAAATAACACCACCTCCACGAGAGTGCAGAACAAAAAGGACTGATAGGGACAGACACAGTTTTTGGTAGTAGGTTTGTGCTGGACCTGGATTCGTGCTACACAGCTGGATATCTTTGCATTGATATGCAACACCAAGCCCCCAAAACACAGAGAATGGCTTTAGATGGAATTAATTCAGGTCAGGGGGGATTTATTAAATTAAAGCTTTATACCATGTTTATAAAAAAGTACTGTTTCTGGTCTCAAATTAGTATGAAAACACACATGTTCAATTTAGCAGTAAGACAAGTGGATAGCTGATCCAAGCCGACCTTACAGAGAATCATTTCATGGGTTTTCACTTAAGATGTGGTTCATTTGCACTCCAGACAAATGACTGGAGATAACTGAGCAACGATTGGGAAAAAAAAAAAAAGAATAAAACCCCCCCCCAAAAAAACCTCCCTCTCTCTCTGGGGTAACCTCCCATTAAAGCAGAGAAAACTTTATACCTGCAATGAGGAGAACCACAAATACACAAAGGGTAAACAGAAGATTTGAAGAAAATTCAACCTCAAAGAAATCCCTGGTGCGAAGCTCTTAAAACATGAGGTATTTTTTGCATTCATGACCATTTCAAAATATAACTTGATATTCAAATGACACAACAATTGCATAAGCAGACAAAAATGCCTACCTCTTCTAAGCTGTGGAGCGAAGAAGCAGATACTGCTCGAGATGTGAGTGGATGAAATGGCTCCTGACCGACTGCATGCTGATGATTCTGTATTTGTATAAAAGGGTTTTGTTGTGATCTATGGGGCAATGGAGGTATACCATAATGAAAGCCCTGCCCCATTAGGTGATTCTGCTGTAGGTTAGCATAAGTCCACGATCCATCAGGTTGCAGGTATTTCAAGGGAGATGGGGTTATGTGTTCAGATGGCATTGAGAAAGGGGGATTGTATATTTGGGGTAAATGCTGCTGAAATGCTGGGTTACTGGGGATTTCAATGTCTCTGTTGTTTTCAGTGAAGTTAGGAAAGTGACCACTGTGATTAGAGTTGCAGGAAGGAGAAGGGAGTGCTGGTGGGCTTCTGGGCTGAACTTGTCTATATTGCAACAGTCTTGACTGAGGGGGTGGCATTTCAGCTAAGTCCCGACTTTCACTTTGATCACGGTGTGACAGTTCTCTGAGCAAATCCTGGAATCTGTATTGACAGAATAAATGTATCAAGAAAAGGTGTTTTTTCTAAAATCCCACTCTTTGAGACTGAGAAAACTCAAAGCACAAAACACTGGATTTAAATACACTCATCTCTGAGCTGACCCTAACTTCAAAAGGTATGACTGTGAGCAATCAGAAATTAGGCACAAGAGGATTAATTGGATGAAATACCCACCTGAAGCAACTCAAAGTTTTAATAACTCTTGAGATTTCCTTTTCAGTCAGAAGAATCAAATTTTTGTTATCTCTTAGGAGACAACCAAAGTAAGGATTTCCTGCTTTATTATACAAGTCTTCATACAGTTAAAGGAAAATTTTTAACTCTTTAAAAGGTAAAAACCACAACAATCAGGGATTTCCCTCACTTGTACATTTCCAAACTTCTTCAAAAAGTGGGGAATATACAGTTCAGCACTTACTAAGTCAGGTAAGAGAGCATTTACAGGCTTTACCGTGGCTATAACAAACCAGATGGAAAATAAAGCACAGTGGGAGATGACAGTAAACAGAGGCAATTTAAAAATCTGGCCTTTACAATACATGTGATTAAGGCTGGTGGCCACAGGAACTTTTTTTTTTTTGCTTATGTTCAACAGCTTTCTTTCTTGCCCCCTAATGCTGCATCTCAAGAATAAGCATATTTTTTAATCCTCTTTAAAAGCAAAGGCTTTTTAAAAAGGAAGAGAAGTTTGGATTTGACTGGGGAGAAGTGGGCAGGGGTTTGGTTTTTTAGCACAGAAGTCCAAAATTTTTAAGACTAATTCAATCTGAAGAATTCACAACTTAGCAGGCCTTAACTACTCTCAGATACCACTTGTAAAAGCACAAGGGTCTTACCCTCTTGCCATACTCGCTCTATAAACACAACACTGAGATACTCCATAAATGTATTTTCTTCGCTACAGTTTTAGTGACAAATAAAAAAAGCACTACAGCTTCATTATGATCCAATAAACAGAATAAAGCATAACATATAACAAAAGCATAGATGCAAGTCAGCCTGCCAACTATTTTAACCTTCATAATAACAGCAGCAAAATGCAATACCCTTTAGTGCCTTGTACCAGATCACAGTGTTACAGATAGGTACCTACTGCTCAATTTTATACAAGCTCTGATGACTCAGTAAACAAATACCTTGAATATGTTGCCTCTGTTTCATCTTCTGTATTACTGGCAAGTTTCCAGTTTGCCCTAACTTGCTGCTGTTGATGCAATCCAATTGGTTGCTGAGGAAGATGTGGTAGATGAGGATGGTGATGGTGTTGATATGGAATTGTGCCTTGACTGAGATAGGCATTATGTTCATTCCATTGCTGTAACCTGGCTTGTTGCTGCTGCCTTATTGTTTCCAAAGCTACATTTCCATGCATACGATCTATAAAAATAGTTTTAAAAAAAAATTTATCTAATGCCCTTTTTTTTTTTTTAAGAGAAAAAAAGATTTTTATGTCAGGAAAAAAAATACTTTTTACACAGCATATTTCAAGGCCTATTGTCAACTAACTGCAATGCAGTGTATAACCTGGTTATTTAAATTATAAGGAAAATCATATAAACATGAATCTTCTAATAAAGGGCTGAATATTCAAACATGCCTTAAGCAGCAAATTATGCTCAATGACATTACTTATGGAAACTAACCCAACAATGACCCAATTCAGAGCAATATGCCTGGAAAGGTAAATAACTCCTTCATTTTCACTTCAATGTCGTTATAATTGAACACTGAATTTAAATAAAGAAAAGTCACCTACCTAAAGTGTCCCCTAGGGGCATTCCTGATGGATTCTCTTCAATGAAGTTGTTCAAGTGGGTTGGCAGAACAGGGTTGTGCTGTGCAATAGGCCTCAAAGGATTACTGACTTCTTGTAACATAGGTGGGGGGTGTTGTTCTGAAATCACAGCATCTACAGCAGGAGAATGTGGTCGGTGGGGAATTGGGTTATTAAAAAAAGATTGGCTAGGGCCTGCCTGGTAAGCAGGGGAAAGCTGCGAAGGTTGTGGAGGCTGTTGGTTCAAATGATTATGCTGCTGAACTACCTGGCTTTGCTGTGGTGGCATTTGGTTTTGTTGTTCAGGCAAATGATTTTGTTGTTGACTTAAAAGGTTTTGCTGCTGTTGCAGAGGATATGGCTGCCTTGGTATCTGGGACAGGTGCTGGAAGTGGCGATTGGGAACTGCATACTGCGAGTGGGGTGGGGTGAGATGTAGATTCAGCTGCCTGGGGTTAAGATTATCTTTACGATGAAATTTAGCATTAGGGTAAGCAACATTGGAACGTGATTCCGGGCTTCTCGTCTGAGAATTTGCATCTAAGTCAACCTAGGAAAAGAGAAAAACTCAGAAAATATACCTAATAAACAAAAGACAATGTCAGCAATGAATAAAGTCATTTAACAATGAATAAAGTCTATAAAACTCCTACAGTATGATGGGAGGGGAACACACTACATATCACAGAACTATTATTTTCTTCATTTAACAGCAAATATATTCTTCATTACACACTAGACATATCTAGCCATCAATTTAATTCCTTGCTGTTCTCTAATGAATTTAAATTATTTTCCCCTCTTGAAGGAAGGTAACTAATTCTACTGTCACTATTCTAATTACTGAAAAATAACAATATGAGGAAGTCAGAAAGAGACTGACAGCCTCTCTTCTCAAAAAAAATGAGCAGAACAGCATCTAGAAAAAAAAGGAATATTAAAAGAGAACGTGGCAAACCAACCTGCTTAGATTCTACAGGTTTCTTCTCAGGTGTCCGAATTTTATTGATTTCAGGTCCAGCAGTGCCTTCACTTTTACCTAAAAACATTCAAGAAATGTACTAACTAGTTACAATGGAAGTTTGTTTTCCAAATGGAGAAAGATTTAGAGTTATTAGTATAGCATTTACAGAAACATAGAAATGTAATACAATTTACCCAAATATCTTTTCCTCTAATCTCTGAGCTTTTTTTTCTAATCTTCAATTAGTTGTTCTTCCAACTTAACTGGTGCTGATGTTACTTGCAGTTATCACTGGACTGCAGAACAGAAGGAGATCTTCCCACCTCTTTTTTTCTCAACAAGTTCTGACTGCTTCCTCTTTTGAATTTCACAGTATTTGAATTATTCTATTTGTATTGGTAAAACTGACTGTTTCCCTAACTCTGAACATTCCTCAGTTTCACTTAAAAGGCAGAAAGAAAGAAAGAAATCCTTTCCATAACACCCAACTTAAGTTACAGATTTACTCATAACAAAACTAATTTACAATGGAATTTCAAATACTCACCATTTCGACTTTGCTCATGTTGCTCCTTGTCTGGATGCTGAAGTTGTTGCTGCTGTCCTATACTAACTGGTGAATGATGTCCCAAGCCATAAGGTATAGGAGACCCACGCCCATGTGCCTGTAACAGGTTCATATTATATGCCATAGCTGCTTGATGAGTAATGATTCGAGGGTCAACTGCAAACCTACCCTGATACCCCGTCCATGGTACCTATATAATTAAAAAAATAAAAATGCAACCTGTTAAGGTTCGTTAAAGAAAGTAACGTAACAAGCACATTTACATGACACCAGTAAAAAGCAACTTTCCATACATCAGGTGGCCTGACACCCTAACACACAGCTACAGGTAACACTGAAAGGGAGAGTGATAATGACAGTCTAGTGGCAAGGAGCAAAAAATAAAGGTTTTAGAGGACTGTCCTTTGTACAAATTATTGTACTGAAATCCATTCTGGCTTCAGTGGTGCCAAGATTAAGACAGAAAAGGTTGATGGACAAATTACATTTTAATAATTATTGCATTCTGTTTTTCTCTTCATAAGTATCAGTGGGTTCCATAAAACAAAGCTCTTGGTAGCTGAGGAGAGATTGGGCTGTAGGTCTGACGTGGAACAGAGAGAGAACTCTTTAACCTGAGGACCTCCTTATGGTCCTTTGATCAGCCAGTGTTGTAAGTCTTGTAACACAGAATGAGTGGGCATACTGTACCTCCACACCCACAAGACACTCAGGGAAGTTAACCGGACTACTGGTAGAATCGACTATCCGCACGGAGGGCCACTCTATTCTACATGACACATCTTTGTAGATTGTCTTCCTACTTATTTGAAGTAAAATCCACTTCCTGAAAGTATGTAAAAAAGTCAGGAAACTTTACAAGATTTTAAATTTCATTCCTATAAGGAATGCAAAGGATAGCAGCTCTGGATCAAATTAGTTCCATCTTGCCCTGTAGGGAATTTGTTAAGAGAAGGCAAATAGATATATGAGTAAGAGGAGAGTGCTAGGAAAGGAATTACCAACACTCAGGCTGACAAAGTATCCTTTTAACTGATGACAGAACACAACCAAACTCTCCATGTTTCTACATTAGATATGGAAACAGTCCTAAATTAAATAAAGAGACCATTCTATCTTACATGAACATAAACACATTTTACCTCAGATCTTAGTTATTTTCAAGTGTAATGACTTCCAAGCAATTCTCTTTTTAAAATTTGTATTTGCCCTTGAAATATGCACTTTGAACTTTAGCTTTGGGCTGCAGTTGCATCTACACAATCTCAAATCATATCCAATAATTTTCTCCTCGAGAGCAGCTGTCCTCATTAGTACCTCAGTCTTCCCACTTACATATTTTTAAAAGTCCATCCTCAGGAAAGGTGAGCACAAAATACTGATTTCTAATACATTTCTTTTAGTTCAAAATAAATGAAAATAGATTAAGCTTGGAACAATAAAAGAAAAAATTCAAATTATCTTGGTTTGATATTAACACAATGTGAGCAAGCATGACAAAGATACAGCTGCTCGCCTTCTTGTTGCATTTAAGTTTATCCATCAAATGTAGGTTTCCAGTAAGCTAGGAAAAAGGCAAATTACTTGACCTAGTAAAGGCAAAAAAAACAAAAACCAATCTGCCAGTTGATTCAAAACTTGCATCTGAAATTAGAGTTCCTACAGCAAGTCCCTTACACAGGGACCATAACCTACATTTCAGTAGAAGACTCAAGTAGTCAACAGTGAAATGTATGTAAATACTTAAATTTCTGAGTGGAATTAAACACACATGCATGTGTGGGTTCCATGCCCATCCTATAGATAACGCATACATGTTATGCCATGTTTCTGCAGCCATTGTTCTTTCCTCCCCATTCTCCTCCCAGAATATGCAACTGTGAAGGTTAGAATCAAATCAGAGACTGCTTCTTTAACTTGCACAAGCTTTGGTAGACTAATTCTAGATGCAGTGCAAAATTCCATACGAAGTGGAGCTCAAGAGACCTGATTACAGATCTTCACTATGCTCCCAACTGCTATAAGGAAAGGGGACTGGAGAGGAAAGGAGTTCACTGTGAGGTTCTGGAAGGGGAAAACATCCCAAAATGCTTATTTTTCTTATCACTATACTTCAGACAGCTTGCACCGCAGACATCCAAAGCAGGCAATTTATACAGTGTGGAGCTTGCTCTGAATTGCCCACATCTCTCCAATGATTAAGAACTGGACTAGGCAATCAATTCACATGCAGGTATCTCAAGTCAGATGAGAGATCCCACTGGTGTGCCTATGTCTGTAGCTGAAAAAAATAAGCCAAATTACATTAACATGAAATCGCTTTTGGGTTGTCTGGAGTTATTTGTCAGAACAACAGTTTTAAGTCCTCTGTTTTGGGTGGTCCTCTGCACAGTCCCTCTGTCGAGTCAGCTAAGGACATGTATTTGAGGTGAAGTGCTGGAACATGCAGCAAAATATTCAGTAACTGATATTCAATAACTTGATTTATTGTACATAAAATAAATGGTGTGGAGTTGTGAGGGAAAAAAAATAAAGGAAATGAATTCTTACAGGCAAAGGCACAGACATGACCATGTTTCCTCCATAGACAGCAGGTACGTAAAGAATACTTGTCCCAGTGTGTGGATCTATCCTTTGAACAGGACTTGGAGATTTCCCCAGATTGGGGTGAGGTCCCAGAGGAGGAGGAGGAGGAGTATATGCTCGGATAGGATTTCCTATTAGAACAGAAGGATTGGGCTGAACTGGAAAAAGAAAAAAAAGAGATACATGTATACACACTAAAAGAACATGACATCTATTTCTTTCTTCATACTAATAGCACCACGGGTATCACCAACAACACAGAACTGACATACTGAGAAAAAGTATTAATCATATATTAAATCCTGTAACCTATTCCAGAAATTTGAAGAGGCAGAAAATATAAGTTGAGATACAGAATAACAGGTCACTGGTAACTATGTTATAAAAAGAAAGTCCCAAACCAGTTACATATGCTGACAGTAACAGTAGCTGCTAGACTGCATCACAACAGAAGCATCCTCCTTTCTTCAGCGGGGAAGACAAGTTTTAAATTAACACCCTTTAAAATTAATAACAAAACTCTTCAGCTGCTGCATGCTATCTTGCAAGTTTGTTCAGTACTATCTGGATATGTTACAGTCCAACATAGGTTCCAAATAAGTAACACTACATGCAATAGTATGTCCTATCTCTTGCCAGTACAAACACACTGGTGGTATGGTATTTTGCATAATGAATGTCAAACAGCTTTTTTTTTTTTTAAAACAGTCCACAATCTACACTATGATAAAGCTATGAAGTTAGTTCATATAATATCTGTAAGGGGACCACCTGGGAAATATCTGATGTACACTTAACAGCCTACGGTCAATTTGTTTCCCAAGTGCATGCAAGAAGTAAATGGATTTCAAATAGAGAGCAGATCAGATACTCCATTCATGTCAAATTACTATCAACCTGACTGAAGCCAAATCAGCACAAGTTCAGAGAAATTCCTTATTCTAGTACATACTTACCAATTCCATCAGGTGGGAAATGGTCATTCTGGTTATGATGATGGACCTTGCCCTTTAAAGTGGAAAAATAGTAATAGTAATGCTTTGCAGACTGAAAATTAAAGCAAGCTTTGCTTTTATTTCAAGTGAATATTATAACTGAACCAAATGCAAAATCCTCAGTACCCCTTTTCAGTGGCAGTTCTCAGTGGAAGCATAATCCATTTTCTTCTCCAGGTTCCAGATCAAGAACCTTGGAGCCAAAGCAGCCACCAGTTTTACGCAACTGCACACTCAGCTTCCTTAGAAATTGCCTCCACACCCCATATCACATACCTGCCTCTGCACCTTTGCCACTGCTCCCCAGAACTGTAATACAGAACCAGAGTACCCCAAGGAATTTGTTTGTCCTTGATGAAATGCACATTAGAAAAGGAGGCTAACAGAACCAAGTTATCCCTCTGAAGTTGATGAGTTTACAGCATCAAGAAAGTAGTGAATATTCATAAACTGTGAGCAAATATTCAAATATCTGTATGCTCTTAAGTACTTTGTGGAATAGGAATACCTTACTTAATCTGGACCTAAATACATTCACAAGTTTAAAATAAATGTAAAAACCCTTTGATGCTGCAAAACTTTTCTTGCCCAGGAGATAAGTCTAGGCAGTTTTCCAGCAGTCTGAGCAAATTAGTCAGGGTACCAAGACAGGTTGTTTGACAGTGTTGACTCATGCATAAACTAGATTAAAGAACTGGTCTCTGGATTTCCTCCCCTTTTTAAAATGAATTATGGAAAAATAAAGTAATAATTACTTTTCGTTACATTACAGTACTTAAAAGAAATCTGAATCTTGTTCCCTTTAGTGAATAGACAATTTAAAACAAACCTTAGAGAAGTGACATTCTTTAACAATCACTCCTGGCTAAAACAAAGCATTTTTGTACCTGTTATGCTGTCAGTTAGCATTAAGTTGGATGTGCAGAAGCACAATGAATGTCTGTTCTGCCTACCACATTTGTATTTTATAAGGGCCATATTTTTAAAACCAAAACAGTAAATTATACACATTTGATTGAATCGCTGTCCTGTCCAGCAGGAGCTTCAGGATGTAACCGTATCATGTGGATGAAAGTAAATGAACTGAGACCATTTCTGTGTTGGGGAAAGGGAGTTGCTGGCTTTGTCTTTTCCTTTTTTTCTTTTAACAGTTCTGATGGCCCTGAGCTGCAATGGATGTCCATAAAATCAACACAAAACGGTGTCTTGCACACTGTTCTCATTTCTCAGTATAAAACACATCAGCATGAGGATTTTAGCCTTTTATCTTCATATGTTAAACACTGCATTTCTGAGGCTGAAAATGAGCTCAGCTAACTGCCTGCTTTCACAACTTCAGCAAAGGGAAATGTATCACTTAGCACAGCCATTTTCTGTAACACTGGAATACTATCTGCACACTTAGTCTGGTTTTGCACGTGAGAGCTGCCAGTTGCACTCAAAGGGAAGAGATTTCATTATATTTACGATAGAGGTGTTTAAAACACTTCAGATCTTAAATGGAAATTACAGTGCCAGTTGATTCAAAGTGTACCTTCTGATTTCTATAGCACATGTGCTTAGTTTACTAACAAACTGAAAGAAAAAAACAGAAGAGTCTATTCACAAGACCACTATACCTGCATTTTCAAATAACTCCATAGTGACACTAAAAGAAAAAGAGCCTTCAAGGCTGTAGCATTCATGAGAATGCTTAAAGAATTTCTTAATTTTTGTTTTTCTGTAAGTGTATTGTTTTGACACATCCCTGGATGCTTCAGAAAGACATTTGTTTCAGGGAGTAATGCATGTTGATGATGAAGCCAAATCTTTTGTAAGTTCTCACTTACAAAATCTCTTTTAGGAAGGACTGCTAAAGGGAAGGCTTTCTGTTTTGTATTGCTGAAGTTTTTTTTTAAAAAATGGTAAAAAATTAAATGAATTTCAATAGTTTGCAACAAAAATGCATTTCTTCCTTCGAGTACAACAGAATTCCTCACAAAATCTGGCAGCCTGCATTTTAGTTGCCTCTCTGAAGACTACTTATTTAAATTTTAACTAAATACATTTTGAAATAAAAAAACCTATTAAAATAGAATTAATTACTAATACATCACAAAACAGCTCTAAAAAATTCAGTGTTGTTCTTTATCATCTTAAGGAAGAAGGACTGTGTTTTCATCACTTTTTTTACCTGATTTTATGAAAAGAGCTGAGAAAATTACTGCTGAGTGGTAATTGCCCCTCTCTGCCTTCTTAATGCCTGTGAGGTCTGGCCTCATGGAGGACGTTGTCAGTGAGATAATCCAGGCATTATATTGTATTACAAGGTATCTTTAATGAAATTAAACACTCATCTCACACATAAACCCCTGAACTTTAAATGTGATTTTCAGATCAAATTGCCTGTGGCTTGTTTCCTTGTGCTCCCTGCCCCTGGCTGCACCAACTTGTTGCTCCTTGGGATAGGGATGGCCTTGCATTCTGAAGTTTCTATTGTCTTATCCAACCGCAGAGGCTGAGACTGATAACCAAAGTTCCTTGGGGCTACTGCAACATAGCCAACAAACACAATGAAGTGGCCCCCAGCATATATTTTACTAAGGGAACAAGGCTTTACCAATCCCAAATTACAGTCAAGAGTAGAAAACGCTCAGAAAACGCTGAGAATCCCATCAGAATTTGCATTTGTATCTGGCTGCACAGATACCACTTTAAAACAACTTGCCCATAAGCCTTTTACATCATTTCCCAACAGGATTTCTCCATCTGCTTCCTGACAAAGTTCACCAGTAGTGAAGGTTTACCTTTGGAGGTGACTGCTGCTGTTTGGTGGTATTGGCCGAATGCTGATGTCGAAGAGCTCGGGGAATAAACTCAGGAGCCAGTGGGTTCAACACATAAGTTTTCTTTAGTTCCAAAGCTTCCAGCTGAGCTTTGATCTGTTCAAATGTGATACCGTGGAGACTTTCATTCTCATGACATAGGGCAATAAACCTTTCCCAAAATTTCCTATGGAAACAATTTTTAGAAACAACAGAAAGGAGTAAGACTCGATGGCTGCTGTTAAAATGAAAATGGATTTTATACAACCAAGTCAATTTTTACCTTTCCCATATGCTCATTTTACACACCAAGCCATCAATCCTGCAACATGACCCTTCCATCCGAACCCAACAGCATAATGCAATGTTCTCCAGTCTCTTAAAATGGACATATGGATTTGCCTGTGCATATCAGACTCTGCACTGGGTCTATATCACATACAATATTAATAGCAAGGATAGATTCTAACAGAATTTTTTCTAAAAGACCAAACACTAGCAGACACAATGATCAAAATTCTGGAAAGCGTCTGATTTATAGAAGCGATTAAAGCTCTAGGAGTCATAGGGTTTATATAGGTTTCCAGTAGCAAAAAAATGTCAGAAAAGTTGTCATAAATTTCAGCAGATCATTCAGTTCCAGAGTCACAAATAGAGAGTTGTGATCTGTTCTCAAGTCTGTGCTTGTGAAGCTCTTCAGTGTCACATAAAGATTAACATGTCAGAAGCATCCAAAGGGCCTTTGAGGTCCTCTGGTGGAAGACACACAAAAGTGTGAGCTTCAGTGCACATCAGACATTTCTATAACATATGTAAGAAGTTCTAAGCCAGAAAGACCACCAGATACCATTCAAGACTTCCAGAGAGAAAGTCAGATCTAATCTTTTGTTAAAACAAAAATCAGGTGTAATTAAAGTTACTTTTAAAAAGGATTAAAAAGACAATAATCTTAGAAGCGTGCTTGACTAAACTCCACTCCTTCATGCCTCAACACAAATTAAGGAAGAAAAAACCTCAGTAAGAGACATTCATAAATATATGTAATATTGCTTTGTATAATATGAAATGTCAAATAAAAGACTATGAACTTTAATTAGACACAAACAATCCACACAAAGCAAGACAGTACAAGTGTTTGTCCCAGGTATCTTCATAGAGCCACAAAAAAAACCACAATGCTCATTTTATTACATCATTCTGCTGAGCTGAAATGTGGTGCAGTTTGTTTTTGCTTTGGGCATTCTTTTGTTTGTTTTTTAAGTTACATATTTCATTCCTCCTCGTAGCTTGCTTGTCAGTAATAAGGCCTGGCCAATCAGCTCTGTTACATCCATGTTGCCTCCCAAAGCCTACAAAATGAAAGACTGGTGCATACCAATCTCAATAGCAGTGTCACACTTTGCTGAGTACCTGCCCTTTGCAGAAAAGAACAAATGCCCTTCTTGCCAGAATGTAATCATCAGTAACATTATATTTAAGAACTCAAAACAGTTCTCCCATCTCCTGTTCAATTTCACATTGGCAGGAAATGCTCTTTTAAAATTCAGGATGCAATATGCCCCTTTTTCTGCATTTTGCTGTAAGGCAAATATATCTTGCAACGTTTTAAGTAAGGATTAAAAGCCAAAATGAACTATTTCACTGGGATGCTTTAACAGTGGAACTCCCTCTGATTAATCAATTCACTCACCAAACCCACTGCCAAGTACCACAAATCCACAGGGACCCGTACACTTTTGCTTAAAATGCCCCAAGCAGTCTCTCTATACATGGAACACTTGTACTGGGGTGTAAGAACAGAGAATAAAATACTGCTGCCTCTTTCTTCCAGTGTGCTCTGGAGTTTAAAGGGAGTGACTGCCAAACCAGCCCTGTCTAGTCTGATTGTAACACACAGAAATGTAATGATTACTCTGGGCATACTTCACAAAGCTTTCTACAACTATCATTACAGAGTCTTGACTCATCTTGACAGGTATTAGAATATTTATAAAATTCAAGTACTCTCTAAACTTTTTTGAGGTCTGTTTTTCCTAACGAAATGTCACTGCTTTCAGACTTCTTTACTCCTGCTGTACTAAAAAAGAACCAACTTCCTCACAGTACGCCTGAGCCCCTCCAGCACTACTTTCAAAGAGTGAACATTCAATTATTTAGTGATATGAGACAATGGCATATTAAAAGTAAAGCTTGAGTTACGTCCTAATAAAGCTCCAGTCATTCTGGTTTCTTAATTATCTTTTTCGTTTTATAATTCTGAACGGCATATATATGTATAAACAGCTGCTGGTCTTAGAAAGGCAGACTCAATCACTTGTAACTTAGGTAACAGGTACCCTGCTGGTAGTCTATACCTTTTTTTCCCCATAAGTTTTTGCATGCCCAACTGGGGGTATTTTGAAAGAGCCATACCCAGAGCAACTTCCCAGCTCCCACATTTGAAAACCAGGTCTCTTTTCACTATCTAATTTAAAACCTCAACATCCAGACTTACATGAAAATCCATCAGATCATCATCTCCACTGGGATTTAGAGAGAATAAAGAAAATGGTCATTCTCCCACAAAAGCTGTACTTAGTTACAGAATCAATAGCGGTTCCAGGTACCAGCTAAACTAACTACAGATTAACTAACAGCCAGTCTTTGGTAACAGTGGGCATTCTGAACACCACTGCAGGGAAGGGAAGGAAAATTTGGCAACTAAGTGTAAATTCTGAGTCAGAAGTAACAAATCTCAATCAGCACATCATGGCAAACTCCATAGCTGAGTCATGCACCACTGCCGTGTGGGTTAATGAACCAGAGAGTGCAACAGCAGACTAAGAGACACTCATCATTTGTGGGTCAAGTTCTCAAGAGCTCTCTCTGATCAGCTAAACTAAATCACATCTGAAACACAAGCAGATAACAGGAAAAATGAAATAAAACTACAACTCTTATTTACTTTTAGTAAGATGTTATTAGTAATTTTGAGCAGATTACTATAGTAACATAGACACTTCCCTAGCAGATAAGTAATTAAATACAGATTGCATTTCATAAATACAGTAATCAAAGGTTTGGATTCCACTTGGGCTTTTCAATTCTAACCTTTGAAAACCACATCCATTTTCAGTACTTGGTCAAGAAAGCAGAATACAATGTAGATGTAACAACTGAGTAATACATATTTTTAGTTGTATTATAATAATGCAGTCTGTGCAGTGTTTCCCCTCTTCCAAAAAATAAGCCTTAGGGCTTATCTCTGATCATCTTAACATTTCAGGTCTTCCATTGAAAAAGAAACCTTTGAAGAACAAGAGCTTAGTATCCTTAACAACACAGCTTACATTTCTTTTTCACCTTTCTTCACTTAGATCTATAAAAAGTAAATCCAAAGTTCAAATCTTTGCAAGAGTTAGGAATACAACAAATGCTTTCCCATCTTTATGGTATTTTAGTGGGCATAAGTGTGAAGAGCTTAAATATCATTATGCAGTTATTTTAAGGATTCAAAATATAATAACATATCTTATTTGACACCTAAAAGAACATCCATTGTTTTACTGAATCCATCAGTAATAGATGAAACATATTTTCTAGCATTTCTAAGTTCTGATTAATGAAGGAACATACATAACATATATAAGATATACCTGCATCTTCCAATGGAACATAAAGCAATGGGATCTCCCACCACAGCTACCAAGGATTGTGCTCTTGTAATGGCAGTATTGAGAAGTTTGTAATTAGACAGAAAACCATAATCCAAGTCCTCTGTTGAATCCTCCAGTAACTGCTCTTTCCGTTTAATTGGGGTTTGCTTATGTTTGCATGTATGCCGTGTTCGTACTGTGCTGAGAAACAACACTCTAAACTGTTTTCCTAAAAACAAAGCAAAAAAAAAAGGAGATCAGATAATTCAGCTATTTCTGCTGCTAAGACAATCAGACCACTTCTCCTATCAGCCCGACTTCACACCTAGATACTCTGAAGAAATGATAGCTACCCTTCACATGAAGGGCTTTATGCAAGAATAATAAGATGTAAAATTTTTAAAAGATGCACTATAAATAGCATTTTCTATTACAAGAATATTTCCTGTATAAAAAAATAATTTTTCATCTCAAAATTAATCACTCCTGAACTTTCTGAAATTCTAATCACCTTTCCAATGCTTCTATTCAGCCAATAACAAAGCATGCACTTATTTATTCTACCTTTAAAAAAAATTGCTCTGGACATTCTTCTTTTATATTGAGCAAATCTCTCCAATACATGATAACTGCCCTGAAAAAAACAGAGCACACCACTCACTGTCACTCAGTTTCTTATCTTCCTTTGCTTATTCCTGACTAAAAGTGCAACCTAGCAACAGGCCATGCCTACACAAAATTCTTATGTTATCAATGTGATCCAAGAGACTTATGTTTGTAGACCTCTTTTTACATTCTGTTCTATAAACAGAAAACCAGAAAAACATTTTGAGGCAACAGCTTTGTTACACTTTTATTTGGAATTATTTTTTCTTCACAGTAAAAATATATCTGTTTCCAGTAAATCTATTCTTGAAATTAGCTTGAACTTAGTTTTGAAAAATACATATCCATGAGTTTATTATTTTGTTATTCTATGTTGGAAAAACACCTAATCAGCATATTTGCCACTTTCATTTTGATACACCAGTTTCAATGGCTACATCAAAGTTCTCTTTTTGTTCTGACCATTATAAGTGTTTAAATACATCATATTTAGTTTGCCACATTTTAACTTCTTTATCACATCACTGAGACATACAACCACTACTTACCCTGAACGTTTAGCACTCTCTCTACACTGACATCAGACAGTCTTTTTTTCCGAAGTTCAGCCCGAATTCTGAACACTTGATCAGCATAAGGTGTCACAACACCTATACTGCCATCATCCAACTTGCCCCAGGCAACAGGCCATTTTCTTCTTAACTCTTCAACACGCTCCACTACTTCAAATACCTTCAAAGAAAGTCAGAATTCTTAGAAGAATGCTTGAGTGAAGATCATTCTTTGATGCAGAAAGATTATTTTAAAGATCTAAATCATTTAAATGATACAGCATTACACAGCTCTACTGACTAAGAAACAATACTATTGTATTCTACACCAAAACTCTGAAGTATTACGTAGTAAAACAATACATTAAAGGTATTTACTATACATTAAATTTTTTCAACCTTGAACTAAAAGTTTGCCCACAAAAATGTCACCTTTCAAGTACAAACGGGGAAATGATATTAATAACCTTAATTTTAATACTTATGATCTTACTAAAATGTCAAGTGCAGTAGGACCTTTCTGATCATACTTTATCTAATTTCTGTAAGTAAATACACTGCCTAAATAGGGATTATTTAATTTTTACTCTGGATTTTATAAGCCATATTTGAGTCTGGTAACTCAAGAAAAAAAGAATGTGTGTATCAGAACACATTCACATCCCATTCCAAAGGATACCATCAGGAGTTTCAGATTTTTTTTTATCAACTGTTAGCTCATCTCTACAGAACACTAATAAGTGTATTACTAGAAAAGACTAGTAAATAAGAATGGTTGAAAAACTCTTCCCGTGAGAAGACAGCCTGAAGCAGTCTCCTGCCAAAACATGCCAGGCATAGGAGCTCCTATTTCAACACACAGACATGAGATGCTGCACTTTAAAAGGTATTTCTAAAAAGCTTCATGGGTGTTTTTTTAAAATTATTATTGTTTTCTACATTAGAATTACCACCACACAGGTAAATTTTGGAGTCAGAAACAAAGAGAGGAAATTCACTTTGCTGAAGTGAAGTTAACAGAGGCACCAATGAACCTTACATTGCTCCAACAAAAATTTCAATTAAAGGACAAACAGCAAAAAATCTCCTTTGTCCTCTGAATTTCGGTTTATGTTGGTGTTTAAGCAGCTGTTGTCCTTCATTTCTGCCTGCAGCTATTAATGACTCACAATTTTCTGACAGTTCCTGGGCCACTGAAGATATTTTAAGCATTTTTTACAACTTTTTTTTTTTTTTTTTTTTTTTTAATGGAGAAGCAGTAAAGTATATTGATGAAAGTAGTTGGGTGCCTTCAGTTTTTCCTCTGTGATCTGTCCAAAAATCACCAGAGGCTGAAATGCACCTAAAACCAGCACAAGCTTTTTGTTTAAGTAGATATTTTAATACATGGAGGAATGCACAACTAGTGCAGCATAACAACTACAAAAAGGTTAAAAACTGTGTGTCAGATGAAATGAACCACTAGTCAACAAGGGACATCAGACAGCTCTGCAATATTTCATAACAAATACTGCTGCCAACCTAAATTCAGTTAAAATTCGTTACCTCATGAAGTTAAGATGGTTTCCTGTGTTTAAGCAAATTAGTGATATTTCTTTATCTCTAAAAATCATTGAAAAGATTTCTTAAGGCAGCTTTTAAGTGGGGAAAAAGAGGAGTTGGTTCAAATTTCCCTGACTTGAGGTGACTGGAAAAAATATATGTATATACATTATTCCAAAAGTAATGCCTTCTATTTACTTCCAACTTTTTTCTCACGTGGAGGAATTCACTTCCACCCCTTTACACTCTCTGTTCTTCTATGTCAGATGCCATTCTGTCAGGCTGTCCCTCTGCTGCCATATGTTACATGGCAACAACATGTAATGGAATACTGGTGGGAAGGTTCAACCTCTACTGCAATACCATCAGCATCCACCTCTGACACTGGGGGCCAAAATAGGAGTATTACAAGGGCTACTCCTAAAGTAATGCCTATTAAAAATATTGCCACGTCTGGTCATTTTCTTAGACTCAAGGGAAGGAATAATTAAAAATAACAACTGCTTGAATACCCATAATGGTATGAAAAACAAATACTTTAAGATAAGTTCTCACTGAAAAAAAAAAAAAAAGTATCTACCCATGATCAATTAAACACCAATCCTAAATGTATTCAAGCAAATATGAAATGTTACTCCAGAAGACTCTTATCTGAGTGGGAGCATTTCTACAACAGTAGAAGAAATTTAAGTTTTACTTCAAATTGCAGTTACTCTCAGTTGCTAAGATACATCCATCACACTGTCACAAAAATTATCAGGGAAGACATCCCAAAGAACGAGCCTGAGAGAAAAGTAAGCAGCTTGCAATTTGCAAAGAGAAAACAAAAACAAATTAGTGGAAATGTTTACCACAATTGCAACATTCACTATTTCACATTTAACAAACTTCACGTTTCTCTCTCATGTTAGACAACAGTGTGTGCTTTCCACCCACACTGAACATAAACCAATAAACGTGAGGGTATTGGAGCTTCAAGAAAAATCAAGAATAAAGCCAAAGAAGAGTTACCTCTGCATTATTGTAAAAAGCTGTACTATTTTTTTCCTGCACATCTTCTCCACGTGCTGTGAAGAAAGTTAAAGGGTAGAAATCTTTGTGTGCTGGCTGCTTTCCACTTGCCATCAATTTGCCTTCATAGAAAAGTTCAGATGTGTAGCTGCAACAAAGCAAAATGGAATAAAATGTGGAGCCTATAGACAAGCTCACTAACATGAGAATTTCACCAGTAAAATGTGCAATCACAAAATTCTTCACAAAATTCTCCACAAAAATCAAAGGAAAACCATTGATTACTATTTACCATCTCCAAGGATGCTCTCTAAAACAGTATTACCATACTACAATTCCATTTGCAAATTAATCCTTATAGTGAGTTCTCATTAAACAACAGAGCAACCTTTCTACAAGGACTGTTTTTTTTTTTTCCAGTTACAGCTCCAAAGCTGTTCTTAATGTCTTTTGGTCTCTCCTCTTCACTTAGGTAGGCACGATTAATGAGATCACCAGGAATTATCTTCCTACACTTATTTCTGTCATAAATGTCATGATCCAAGGTATCAAAGGAAATTCCACTTTATAAAGGAAGTAAACTTGACAGAATCCCTACAGTTGGATCACTGTGAGAGCATGTTTCACTTCACATAACAGTACATTACATACACTGCATTTTGACTCAACAGCCAACTACCCCCAGTGGTACTCTTGCAATCCTTACCTCGGTGTCTCTCAAGGAACACACTGCCTGAACTTCAAGTGCTGAAGTTTCTGAGGCAAGTTCAATGGAAATGATCTCTACGAAAAAGCTGAAACAATTCCTACTCCTTCAGATTTCCTCTCATTTATAACTTAAAATTTCTAGTACTGTCTAAGAAGTCTAGAATGTGTAAGAAATAAAATCAAGCTGTATAATAAAGTACGCTACATTCTCCTTTTTGATTCCCCAGTGCATTTAAATATTCCTGCTTCTGCTTTGAACACAGTGATAACCTAATTAGTATGACTGGATACCAACACAATAACCCTCAGTACATATTTGAGTCAGGACTTAAACTTTAGCATTTTTCCCCATGATTGCACTTATTCTTTCTAGCACAGCTCATGGATGAGCTCATTACATTACACTAGCAGCCATTAGTTTATCATAGCATAAAAATGCAAAACCACTGATTAACGTCTTGAAAGCAGCAGCAAACATGCCCAAAATTTGACCTACTTTTTTTCCTCTTCATAGCTGCACATCTATATGTTCCTTTTACTGCATATATTTTACTGCTCCAACGTAGCCTAACCTACTAATTCTAAAAATCTGAAATAGTTTAAGGAAATACAGATCCTACTGAAAATAATGGTTAAAAAGGGAAGGTTAGCTCTTTGGCTCTGTGTACCTGTAGCCAAATCAGCTCCCCTCAAATGAGAGGGTCTGTAATAGACCTGCCTAAGCGATTCTTTGATGTTTGCTCTAGGAGACTGAATTTCAATCTCATAAGAAGGAATTACTCTACTAATTAACTCTGAAACAACTAAGATTTTATTACAGAAATACTAAATGTTTCATCAGCTGTTCTTGCCATATCAAAAGAAAAAAATTGTTGTGTTCACTTACACCAGTGAAAGCATGATACAGTGAAAAAGTTCACACCTACTTGATGATAGCTTCATGGGAGCGATAGTTCTCACACAGCAAGATCCTGCATGGAAATTCTGCAGGGTAGTGCTCATAGAGCCGATCAAGCAATGAAACATGAAGGTTTCTTTCCCTGGCAAATTCACTGTAGACAAAAGGACTGAGCTGTAATAGACACACACATACAAAAAAAACGTAACTAAATATGTGGATTTAGAATTTCATGCTCCCAAGACACATATTTTGCAACAAAATAAAAATAAATATGTATATTCATATTTGGAAGACATGTAGTATGAATAAGCATTTTCTAACTATTCCATAGAAATATCCATTCCTATTGTAAAAGTGACAAAAGAGCAGCTTGCGCTTATGGGAACAATAAAACTTCTAATAACTAGGTACAAAGGAGAGAACCACCCTTATATATTTTTCTTTGTGGCTTGCAATGATGAATAATACAAAGCAGAGTCGTATGGTCAAAAAATTAAAATAAATAAGTGTGTTTGAATGCCATTAATTATGCTGTAAATCCTTTTACAGATGGTTACTACCAACCATAAAGCAGCACATAAAATATAGAAATTTGTAAAAGCAAAGAAAGCTAACAAATTCATTCAAAAAAAACAAAGGCAGTCCAGTTACAAACACACTATTACTGGCATTTTTAACAACAAAAACATCTAAGATAGCAGGACTAAGGATGCTGAAAAGACAATTTTAACTCAAAATTCAAAAATGAAGCCAAACTGTTGATGTTTTGAATATGCATAATTCAGAATCTGAGTTCATTATTTTTTACTCTCAGGTATTAGTTTTAGAAATGTAAATGCCTCAGAATAGTTTCTGTGAGAACTCTGTGAGAACCTGAGCTACAAAACAGCTCTTTAAAAATGTAGCCAGGGACACACAGACCAGAGTTACCTCCAGCCATCCTGCTGGGACTCATGAGTTCTAGCCTGAAGTAGTAAGGATACTATGCCAGCCTCTTAAAAAGCAATTTTGAGGTGAGTATTATAAAAAGTAAGAAGCAGTCCATAAGATTACAATTATTATGACTTTACATGATCCAGCAGCAGCAACGTAACTCAATATCAACAGAAGTATCAGAAAGGTATGGAAAACAAAGACTTCACCAGCAGGACCTGAAGAACTAATATATACGTATGACACAGATGATTGTGTTAAGTGGCAAACCTACTTTATAGTGGTAAAACTGCTCTATTGCCTTTTTTATTTTATTTTTATTTTTTACTACAGCAATGCAAACATCCACTTTATTGCCATCATGAATTGTCAAGAAAAAGAAAGGCAAATCCAAAACATGTCATGGACATTTGGAGAATTATATAATTAAATAAACAAACATACTACATATACATTTGATATTATATACTACAGCTTTTACCTGCATATGGTCTCCAGCCAAGACAATTCTTGTGTTTTTATTAGCTAATGCTAGAGGCATAATAGTTTCACACTCCATAGCCTGCGCAGCTTCATCTAACAGAATGTGTGTAAAAAAACCTGCAAGACAGAGATAGCAGCAAGTAAGTGGAACTAGAGATATGATAAAATAAACAGTGACAACAATATAAGAAATTGTACTAAAAGTTCTCTATTCTGATAGTAATCAAAACTAGAAAAAAAATTCTCAAAATTATCCCTCCTGGATCTGAGAAATACCAGTTCATACACAATGCCTCTTCCTTCTTTATACAAGGGGAAAGAAAATGAGGCAAAAGGCTACCTTGAATACCATTAATTTTACAGCTTTTTAATGAACATTTTTTTCACAAAAAAAATCCAAACCATTTTTTAAAAAACTTTATTTCTTAGCTGTTCAAAGAACTGAGTAGGAAACAGAAAGAACACTTGTCACTGATGCTGGAAAGACAAAGATACCTCTCATAGCATCTTACAGACATGTCTTGTTTACAGCTATCATACCTGGTTCAAGATCCAGTTGACACAGATACTGTGATGTATTTAAAGTAACAACTACTACTCGTTGCTTAAGAATATCTTCTTTCTGTGGCATCTGAAAGGTGGAATGTGTGCTTGAAATCAAACAGTACTGATGCACAACTGGGTGGACAGTCTTTACCCAGCGATTTCTGAAATATACCCTACAAAAGAAAAAGGAGGATTATTTTCTATGCAATTGGAACACAGTGACTGCCTAATGTTTCAAATTCTAGTATTCTAGTAAATAAAGGCTTCAAAAAGCAAAGCATTGCTGTAGTGCACAATTACATGCTGGAATATCTTTGTTTCCTTCCACTATTTGTTGCAAAGCAATACCAGAATGTTTACTAGGGATTAATCCACACATGAAAATCTCAAAGTTCCTCCTACATTTAGGTACTGTGACTTTCATATCAGTGCCATTTTTCTCCGTCTGTAAACTCACTATAAAAATATATATATATTTCCTTAACTAAAATACAGTACTAGCCAATAGTCTTAAGCCTGACACAATGGTAGTGGTCTCCACACTTCAGCAGTTACATTGCTATGATCACTGTTTTGTTGTGTTTTTTCTTTTTTTAAAGGTGTTAACAAAATCATGCACTACTTTCATAAATATTACATGCTTTCTAAGGACAAAACTGGATTCAAATTCATTGCTTTATCATGAAGGGCCTTAACTCTGGTATATTTAATAGAAGAATGATAAAACAGTGCCAAAGGAAAGCTAAAATATCTAAAATATCAGGACATTGTCAGCAACGCACTGGGCATCAAACATCTTTCCATGAGATTGAAGATATTTTTAATCACCGTGTCATGATGTCAACAATGAATTATTCTATTCAGATGAAATGTTACAGCCCATCCAGATAAAAAGGAAGAGGAACAGGGAAAACATGAGGACTATGCCCTAGAAGACAGAGTAGAAATAACTCCACATGGGTAAACAGAACCAACCACACCAGCTGCAGATCTGGATAAAGATGTGAAAGAGCTTCTTTAAGTGGCATTCCTCAAAAACATCACCTGTATCAAGTCAGAACTGCAAATCTGAAGTGCAATTTTTAAATTACAAGACACTACTATACATTCTTACTTAGAATTGAAGTTATTTTAACTTATTTCCAAAGCAAATTAAGATGAAATGGTTTAAAATAATTGAAGTTCTGAATATGGGATTCAATGCTGTTTATCTATTCATTAATTACTTCCTTTTGATTAAGTTTCTCCTGCACCCATATTACAAATCCCAAATCATTAATAAAATATTTGAAGAAGTGAAATTATGCACTCAAGTGCAAAACATGATTGCAATGGCTGGACTTTGGATACCATACGTCTCCTCAAGTTGGAAAAGCACAGCTCAGTTGCACATAACATGAGAGAAACTGTGGGGGTTGTAATAAATTTGGTGAAAATACAGATATTGATGTCCATTTCAGACAAGATACACAAAATGAAAGGCACAGGGGTGCAATTGTGCTGCAGTAATCTGGATGGCAACACCACCAGCCAAAATTGACACAGTGATCAACCATGACCAATTCAGCCTGGGTTCAGCACTGTTTCAGGATCAAGAACCTTCCAATGTGATCAATGAATTTATTTCCCATCAGCCTGATAAGGTTTGTTTGATATGCTGTTATTACACCAGTGCAGCAACATGCAGTCAGAACTGGGTCACTAGAAGGAGGCATCAGGAGCAGAACAACCCTGCTCTCTTCATCGCAGCCATTCAGTCAGCTTTCATATGATTCAGTTTCCCAATGTGAACTGAGGATAATACTTACCTACCATCTCACAGGAGTACTGTGAGGATTAATGAGTTTATTGTGAGTTTATGTTTGTAAAGCACTTTGAGATTCTTGGATGAAAGGTGCTATTGAAATGCAAAATATTATGGTTATTAGACATTATTATACCATGCACTGTCTTTCATTATACAAATCCAACTACCTGTGACTCAAAGATTGGCTGACAGCATTTCAAACTGCACTGTTGCTTACCCATGAATTTATTTTATTTTGATACGAGATCAAAAAGGTATCCCAAAGCTAATATGCACCACTGCCAGAAAAGCACCTGGCAGATGTGACTACTTATAAAAAGTCGTGATATAAGTAAGCCACGCAGAACGTGGGATTTCTTGTGTGCAATCTGCACTAATAGCACCTTCTGTCATTTCAAGATTGTTTTTTTCAAAGCTGGAGGAACCCATTGCAATATATACAAATATTTTTAACCAGCTCAACGCAATTCAAAAACACCTCATTCTGCAACATACCCTTAACTTCTGAGTGAGAGACTAACCCAACTTCTACTCCTCATGCTTCCCTAAGCAAAGGCCCTGAGTGCCAGCAGTCAGGAGCCACTGACCAGCCTTTCCTTCAGTGCCTGCAATTCTTTCTGTTTGTGTGCAGCTGGAAGTACAAACCCTAAGATCTTAATTGCAGAGAAATTAGAAGCTCAAAGGCTAGCTTTGTCCAAACTACAGGCAGTGAAATCACAGACAAATCCACTGGGAACAACATTGAAATAGAAGCCCCATAAGATTGAGTCCCTTAAATCTTCCACAAACAAAAGCACTGAAAGTATCATCCATACAAAGAATCGATATTTCATAAGGAAAATGATATCACTTTTATGTCTATGTGTGACATCACATATTCCAACAAAATTTCCCTACTTTTAATAACATATGGATACAACTAAATTTGAAACACACAAATAATAAAGGTAGATACTGCAATCACTGCATAGAGAGAATCTCTATGCTTCCCAGGTCTGGGCTGGAGTTTTTTGATGCCACGTGCAGCTCCAGCACCTGCCTGCAGTGCCTACTGTCAGAGTTGCTTCCTGAGGGCTCCAGCAGCTGATGGAGAGACAAGCACAGCCATGGAGTAAGAGCATACACGAGTTGGAAGCCAATTACCACCTCCACTGCTTTGAATCACCCTCTAACACTGCCTCCTTCTGCATGCAAAAAAAAAAAAGTCTTAGCATGGAACAGAAGCATTTAATTGCAGGCTCTTTTCTCCTAACCGTAGATTACTGGGTTCTTTTCTTTCAGAAACACCTCAGCATTAACTTACATCGGTAGAACAATTTTATTTTATTTTTTTTCCCCCATGCCAAGTGTCTTCAGAAACAGACAGGATTTGGAGTGTGTCCCCTGAACAGCTGCATTACCCCTAATCACCACCAGTGCCATTTCTTTTTTCCTGGATACAGATCTGTTTGTGGGCTTTAGGACTCTGAGAATTTGGTCTCCTGGCTTCCTTGCTATTTTGTTTAGGTGCAGAGCTTAGATTCAACATATTTTTTACCCAATTCATTCTGCCTTTATGTTTTCCAAAGGATAAAGATAATTATTTGCTAGAAAAAAATACATACACATGAAATTATTACATGGTATTTAAACAAACTCCCCAAACTAAAGACTTCAAATTTTTATGGTGCAACTCCTAATGGGATAAATTATTTAGTTTTACCAGAGAAATCTATAGAAATATTTACGTAGTTCTCAGCAAATACTAAATAATTAAGCTTTCTCTCTTCAAAAACAACAGAAATATTATGGTGCTCCCAACTCATCTCTGGGAACATTTTTAGCAAGGATGCTATTTAACCAACTCATAGCTGCAGAGTAAATGCAAAACATCTAAAGCAAACTGCTCAGCCATTCCAAAACACAAACACTGCAAGCAGCACATCCTGCTTGGGTACTTCCCTGCTTCTGCTGCGTTTTGTTTCCCTTAGGCAGCAGCAAAAGGCTCAGGGCACCCTGTTTAAACTAACAGTAATGATTTTAATTTGAAAACATATCTTGACAACAGTCAATAGGAAAGCTAAGGGATTGATTTTATGCTAGGAATATCACATAGCTCTAGCTTTCAGTGCAGATATTGACCCTTTATGTCCTGCTGGATCAGCTGGCATGTAGTTAGGCTTCCCAAGTATAAGTTGTTTGGAAGCTATGTAACACTTCCAAAGTCATTCACAAGCATACATACTTTGTGGATATATAAAAATACACAGATCTGGAGAGGTGCCTCTATTTTCCAAAACTTTTCCTAAAGGTACTGTGTTTATTGGAATAGGATATACAATTCACAGCAGCACTTTCTAAAGTACTCATTAAAAAATATTATGAAAGTTACTTTTTATTTTAAACATTCGGTGGTTTTTTGCATATTTCTGCATGGAATATCCCTGGCAAATATGTATATATATATATATATATTTAACCTTAATGGAAAAGAAATTGTTTATGTATGTTTTTCATGAGCATGCCTGAGACTGTGCTAAACAGAATATAGCACATGTAGAAGGTAGCAGAAGTCTGGCAACCACAACAAAACTACCTACCACCTTGCTCTGTTAAATCACAGTTCAATATTCCTGAAAGCATAAATAACACACGTTTTTCCCCGCTACAAAATTAAGATACTGTAATGCTTTTCATCACAAAGTGCTTTACAAAGAGCCTGAAGACAATCTGTGTCAAAATACACCAGGTCCAAGAGAACTTCTCCAAGCAAACTGTCTCCTCTTTCTGGCCAGATCCTCAGTCTGTCACATGGCAACTAAAGCCAGCACACCTACCAGAATTAGCATCTGTTGTAAATCTCACCCTTTCATGTAACTTCTTTGGCTTTACTGACATTATGTAAATTCTAAGTCCAGGATGGCTCTTGATAGCTAGCAAGAAACACAGCAAATCATTTTCTTTGTCATATAATAAACTCACACTGGCATTTAGAAAATGAAGTCTGTAATTTAAAAAATATACACCAAGCTAGCAATATTATGCACTGTGGTATCTGTGCAAATATCCCCAAGAGTGAGTTTCTGCCAATAAATACATACTCCCTATTTATATGCACATTTCACTTTTCCTATGCTTTAGATTTCTACTTCTTCATCTTCTTCCAAAAGTAACTCCCCCAAAATAACCACAGTGAGCACTTTTAATCACATACACAATTACTTCAAGTTGACTGATCAGAAGAGGCCAAACTTCACGGTTTAAAAAATTTATATATTTTCTATTTAGCTCCTATGACATATTTTTTCTTCAAAAAGCCAGGTGAGCAGCCCCAGCTTCTAAACCGTGAGTCCAAATCCTCTGGAATTCAAAATACAGTTAAATTCACTTTTATTTTATTACAGTCGCTTTTAGAGGAGCATATCAGAAGTTTGCTCATTAGGAACAACATATTTATCAATAGAAAAATAAAAGCTTAAAAAAGGATGTCTTTATTTTCATTTAAGAAATGACACAAAATTACGCTGACAACGTTTCACATTTCTTTTAGTCCACATTTTTAAAATCACTGCTGGTAATGCCAATATACTTTTATATCTTAAATGTTCTTTTTTTTGTTTGTTTTTATAGACACCTTTTCTTAAGAAGAGTATTTTATAGACACATAATAAGCCTTAAAAAAAATACCTGAGAGGTCTTGCCTGGGGATTGCCTGCTTCTACATATGGATGTAAATAATCCTTTATGTAGAGATCAGCAGCACTATTAGAATGGGTGCAAATGAGAATCCTGCTGGAATAAATGGTGCAAATAAAAAAGCAATGAAGAAACAGAAAACAATTCAAAGCAGTAGAATACAAAACAAAGGAAACAGTGGCCGTTTTCCTGTACATTTCTCTTAATGAATCCAGGCACTGACCTACTCTAGTTCACATGGTTCAGCTCTTTAACTTAAATCCTTCACTTATGTAAAGGTTTAAAGTTTAAACAGTTTTCCAACAATTACCTTGCACTTATTAATCCAGACTCAATTATAATTAAGGAACAGCTTTTACTATCAAATATACTGCACAACTTTCCATGCTGAGCAAATCACAGTCCTTCTCAATATTGTCAATTTTAAATAGTTTTACAATGCAAAATACAGGCTAAGACTGTAAAATTACTTTACCATTCGAAACAATAACAGGTAGCTCAGGTTTTGGTTGTTTTTAACGCTGGATGGAAATTCTACACTTCTGCCTTTAACCTGAACTTCATAAGAAATGGTACTCTTTGCTAATCATGTATTGCTCTATTTAGAGCCCCACCTCACCTAGTATCCTGTTGTTGGAGTATGTGCTTGACTGCCTGAGCCAGCGTGAACGTTTTTCCTGTCCCATAGGGACCGATGATAAGAACAGGAGGCAGTTGTATTGAAAGTGGGGTAGTGATAGCCAGAACAGCCTCTTTCTGCTTAGCATTTAGCCGAGGGTCCAACTGCTCATCCCATTGTCTGTACAAAAGGAGGCAAGAGTTGAAAATCAGAACCTATGACAACTCACATCAAAAAGAAATGAAATGAGGTAAGATTTCAAAAGCTTTCATGAAGATCTGTATGTTAATGTATTGATTCTGTTATTCTGAGCCACACTAAAACAAACCAACAGATCTAGCAAAATATAACATGCTTGTATCACAAAACTATTTGCAATAAATCAGTATTTTTTTTCCAAAAGGAATCCAACTACTTCCCAATTTACAGCACCTTGCCTAACAATAATTAGTCTCTATAATGCACATTTCAGACAGAAATATACTGAACCACTACTTGATAATAAAAGAAAGCAGACATCAATGTTTTTCTACCATTACTGTATAAAATGTAACATTAGCTATATTTATTTCAGGCAGTATTTACCCTGTCAGCTTCAAAAGTCAACATTTATATTACCTCAGGCTTGGTAAATGTGAACTAGGATGAATCTCAAAATCAAACAAGAACAACAACAACAACAACACTAGTAATAACCAATTACAGACATCTTTTCCCCTCTTTTGAGATCATTAAGGCACACACCTCCAACAGAAAAGAAGTCTAAAAGAACCTCTGCTGTAATCAGTCAGAGATACCAGCATTAACAGAAAGATTCTTTCAGAAAATTCCAATGAGCATAAGAGGTTAAAGTTTGTAGGCACGGTTTATAATATTCCCAGTGACAGATTTAAAAGTAGACATGCACAGTAAAAAACACCTGTCACTGCTGCACATATGGCCATAGTTTAGCAACGTGATCTGCTTTGGTGCAAGCACTATGATTCTTGCAAATAAGGAAAGGGACTAAAATCAAGAGGAGCTGACTGAAGTCCTGACTTTTAAGATAGCAATGAACAAAAAGCTTGCAGAGGAATCTAAGAAATACTGGAAAATAATAGAGGCATAAAACAGAAGTACAAGAGAAGTATAGGAAAGACAGTTCTGAGTTAAAGCAAACCAAGCCATTAGAGGGAAAAAAACATGCTCACTGCACTGACTTAAACTGAATGGCAATCATTATACACATTATTTACACATATAAAAAATACAAAACAGTTATACAAATAAATCATACAACTAGAACCACTGTGTAAGTTTTTGATAATGTAAATCTCCTGACACAAAACAGAAAAATGTTCTAGCTTGCTCGCCTTCCTTCCTTATCACTGAAATCACTGCTTACTTCTAAGCCATTCCTAAATACTTCTTTACAAGATTTATCCAAAACTTAATTAAGTCAGTGAACAGATTGTCATTGTCCTTCATTAGCTTTGTGGCATAGCTGTGCAAAACCTGCTCCCTTCTCTCAGCCTTTACTGACAAAGCTTTGATACATCCAGCAACGTTCTCCACCCAGAACACTGCACCAGCCCCCTTTTATCATCTCTGCTCTTCCTACACTTCAAAAACAAACTTTTTCCAGTAACTTTTGCCTTACATTTTCTAGTTGCACTTTTCTGGCCAGATTACTTTCCTTCTCATTCTTCAGCTGTCTTCTGCTTTGTACTGCAGCACAATCACACTCCTAATTCGCACCTTCAAGATATCACACAACTCCCTGAGTGCTGCACAGGCTATCAGTTCCACATACCTCTCATTTCCCTGGTGTCTAAGTACAGAAACTTCATGCTTTTTTTCCCCCCCATCCTTCCCCATGCACCAAGAACACTGACCATACTCCCTGAGCCACAAAGCCTCATTTCTTCCAAGTTTCCTCTTCAAGATGCACTATTTTAATTGCATTACTGTATCCCTGTAAGTTTTCTCAGAAGTGTTTAAATAATGTGGAGGTTTTTATGTCCTAAAAGAAACTGTACAATGTATACACAAGGAGTCTCAGGACTGACTGCAAGTGCAATGCCTTATTCACACACCCTTTTGTTCTGCCATTCCCTTCAGTGGTGTGTCCAAATTTGGGTCACTGCATCAAACTCAAGGAGTACTAATGGATTGCTCATGTTAGTGAGTCTGCACGTTTAACATCCTGCACAGCAAAATCCCTGCAACAGATATTTACATTTCCATCAAGTACATATTTTCAATGAAGAACTGCAGAACAGGAAAAAAGAACAGATTTGCTTGCTGCAGCTACAACACAACTGCAGTGCCTATTAAAGTCACCATTCAACCACCGGGAAAACTAATCAACAGATTCTAGTCCTCAGAGGATCAGTTTTCTTGTTTTATTCAGAACAGTTTCACTCCCTTCTCTGAACTATCCTCACCATTAATGAAGAGCAAGACATATTTCCTGTTCCAGGGCAGATTTCAGCCATCTGTTATGGGAAATTCAATACTACATTACCATACGATCGTTGATATTAAAGTGTTTGTATTCTTGTACCTGTTGGGACTCCAGGGTATGGTGGGAGTCATGCTGACATCTGGAAACAAAATACTGTTGTCCTTAATCCTGTCCAGGGCATAATGCATTTCACAGAGAGGTAAGCGATTTAACTGAAACTGCAGTTCAACCTGCAATACAAAATGAATGAATTAATAAGTGAACCAAAAATGATTTGTTTAGAAAACACCGTAGATTTTGCTGCATATGATAACTATTATTTTCCTGCGACCCACTGATTATCAGAAGGAAACAGGATTGGTTTTGGTTTTCTGTAAACAAAATAAAATACAGCACCTTCTGTAACACCATTTTGTTGTTTAAGATTTGATTCTACTGCACTTCAGGGAAAAAAAGAAGTATAACATTCTTCAAATTATTTTTGGTACACAAAAAAGTACTCCTTGAAAACAGCACTGAGCTAGAGCATCGTTTTTTAAAAATTTAAGCCTCCATTCTTTACCATAAGAACAACTTGAAAACAGGAACGGACCAGAAGCTGTCGCAGATGAACAGACAGTACAAATCAGATGTGTGACAAGCAGAGATAAAACCCAAACAGTGCTTAATTCCAGCCAAACATTCTGCAATAATACAATTTGTCACTTCTGTTGAATTGTTAGAACTCTCCAAAATGTAATTTCTAAAATTTAGTTGTTTATCAATACATTCTGTTTGTCTTCTCAATTACTTGTGTTTCAATGCTCTTAGCATTTCCTTTTTTTTCTATTATATTTAAAAACACTATTCATATCATGATGTAGAATATAAAAAAAATAAATCAATACTAGCTTTGCTGTAAATAAACAACACCTGCTTACATCAGTGCAGCCACTAACTTTGTCTCTCACAGATACAAGGCAGTAGATATTCATCTTGCCTATTGCATCTTACAGCAAGATGTATAAAGAAAAGGGCAGCAGTAGAGCTAAGGAACAAGCACAGAGCTCACAGAAACTATTTTGACTGGTAGTAAAGCTTGTTTCTTAAAAATGCTCAAACCACTTTTTCCCCACCGTTCCATTAGAAAGCTGATGCCTACCCACTGCTGCAGCCAGGTGTTTAAAGCAGCATGGTTTAGCATATGCCAAGAATGACAGTGACAGCTCACGCTGCCCCAAGCATCCCTCCAGGCATCCCCTACCCACACCCACAGCATCCCACATGTTAGGAAAAGATTCCCAAGCAAGTGGCACCACTCCCAACTTCAGCTTGCTCTATAGAGGAAAAGTTTCTTTGCTCCTACAGACCAAAGGCTAACAGAAGCCCACCTGGTATTGCAAAGCTACAATTTAAACACAAACTATAAATCTGAGCAACACTTTAACAGCTCTTTCTGGAGTCCAAGGAAAGTGGCTGGCATTCAATGTCTCTTATTATCTACCAGCATTCTCCATTTTCACAGCTTGTGATTTGTTTTGTTTTCAATCCAGTTTGGATTGAGTCATGTAGTTATGTTTGCTGTTGCAGAGTACTGAATGAGGCCATCTGTGAAGGAGAAGCATGTAACCTGCTTCAATAAACATTCCAGAACAAGAAAACAGTGGGAAAGGAAGTCAATCCATTGCCAGTTCACAGAAAACGACAAGACAGTGCAACTACTCCAAAAATAAAACAGTCTCATGTTAGTTTGGTCACCAAGAAGAGCAGCAGCCAAGGGGCTTTAAAGCACCAGCTTGTTCCAGCCCAAGTCAGAATTCTCTTTGTGCTTTAGTTTAGCCAGGACAGCAGACAAGGAAATTATCATCAGGAAATTTCCAAGATGAACTATTACATAATAAAAGGAAGGAAGGCGTGCATTTTACTACAAAATATACAGAAATTAAAGCAATTTTGTTTAAGAATCACACGGGGATTACTAAATCCACTGGAGACAATGGCAAGCCTTCTAGCAGCTTTAATGGAAGCACCATACCTCCAAGCTGTACTACCCTCAGTTCTAACCTGAGGATTCTCTTTCCACATGTTTCAGTCAACATTTCATCAGAAAAACTTTCCTCCCAGTCACGATTCATTAAAATATAGGTAGCTGTTTAAGGATTTCACCACCAGTTCACTGATGTATATACGAAGCACTGCATGATTTCACAAATAAACTCAGAACCTTGCTTTTAATGGAGAAGAGATTTGCTGCCTCAGGCCTGGTTCTATGACACTTGAAGGAAAATAAGTCAGTTACTCAAATTCCAGCTCATTTGGAATTCCAGTGCAGTTTTTGATAGAATCAATTAGTAGATTTAATTATTGTTTTAAGAAAACAAACACAAAACCAAGAGCCCAGAAGAGCATAAGCCTTCCCAGACCAATCAGTCACATTAAATTAAGACATTAAGATTCCTACAAATGTCTCCAGAACAGAAAGTAAATGGAGATAATTCCTTGGTGAAAATGCATTCAATTCAAGTAATTTCAGTGACCTTAGTTTGAGGTCATTTCTGGCTAGTAAACAAGGTCAACTGCAAATTCTACAGCAGGCACACAAAGGGAACAGGTAGGAGGAGTGCAAATAGTTAACTACAGCTTTGTCTTCCCTTACTGCATGAGCAGGAATTGCAAGCTTGTTTGCAAGCTGCAGAACAACATGGTTTAAAAGCACACTCTATCCCCCTCATTTCATGTTTACTGCAAAGTAAACAAAAACTTGATCTTACTACCAATGCCACAGTCTCTAGCAGCAGTGTTGTAACTCCTCATGTTGTGATGGAATGCCTCCCAGACAGGTATTACAGAGTTAATGGAGGCAAGTGCCATTGTGAAATACAGGATATGCATCACAGAAGTATTTGTTCATTTTCCTCATACCTGTATCTATTCAACCCTCATCATCTTTATCAAGGCAGTAAGTTGTCCACTAGAGGACGATATTCCTTTTGTTCTGATACAGGTGCAGAAAGCAGCACAAAGCCCATTCATAGCCTCAACTTCCCTAACAATTCATCTCACCTCAAGCCCAGAAAAAACCGTAGTAGAATCCACAGCAACACAAGAATCAACTGCCTCAGATGCAAATTACCAAAGAGAGTTCCAGCTGACTATGTAAAGAGCACCAGTGGTTTATTATTCTGGAGGAAAAATAAATCCTAACACTCCTTCCCTTGATTCATTAATGAAAAGGTTCCCGTGGACTCTGGTGACGTTATTCATTTTATAAATAAGTATACACATTTCACCTACCTGAAAATTTTATTTGCACTCTACTTTCTCTGTATCACAAGGAGATTAAAAAAAAATTCCGACTATATCTTCCAGCAATTATTTTGGGTGGAGCTGAAATAACTACAATGCAAACATGCCAGAACAGCCTCCTCTCAGGCTTACCTGCATCTCACAATCTGCCCGAAGATTAAGCTCTTCACAGCATTCCCTGGATACCCTCAAGAAGATGTAATCCTTTGTTTTCTCTTCAATAGCTGCTTCATAGACCTTCTCTTTGGTTCCTTGGGTCTGTGCTGACTTCTCTTTAGTGACAGGCAATAAATAAACAGCGTTGACTTTGGTCATCACCAGCCGTCCCGCCAAAGTGTCTTCTGAAAGCGTTTCAGTGAGCTTAAAGCGTCCAAAAAGTTGTCCATTCTGGGCATACTTTGCACCTCCAGAAACCCCAGTGAGCATGAAGCTTGCTACAATCTGCAATTGCACTTTTATGTTGAACCTAAGCAAGAAAGCATCTAGTAAGTGCAGGAAAATGCTCTGATTTGGAAATTCCATGCATCCAGACCCAAGGTGCACTGGCAAACACTCTGAACATGAAACTATATTTGAACAAGTATAGCTAAAGTGGCCCCTTCAGAAGTATGTAGCTGTAGAACACTTACATGCTTTCCTTTTGATGTCAGCCTATAAAACATACAACTAAGAGATGCAATACCAATGAAGCTTTAAAATAATAAAAATCACCTTCACTAGACTAAATCAAATACAAAAATCCCTGTGACCAAAATAAGTTCAGGGTGAGCCAGAGCTGCTGTGCATGTTCCAAATTAGTTTAAAAAAAAAAAAATTTAAATACTCTGTAACCTTTTATTATGTCCACCAATACTAGGTATTATTCAGGGAGAAAGAGGTACAGAAGAACAGAATAAGATTTCTATTTATTCCATCCACCTCTCCCAAGCTGCACACCAATGAAAGTAGCCTAGATCTTGAAGAAAGTAAATGATATTATATCTTTAAGTCAGATGGATTGATTAAAATGCTTCCTAAAAATCAGAATGCAGGCATAAAAAAAAAAAAGTATAGATTATCTTTAATACAATAAACAGGAGTTCTACATAGTTATTAAGATACAACCATGTGCTACTGTGAGTTTATTTTGCAAAAACTTTTTACAACTTCCCTAAAATGGAATCCCCAAGCTGCTAAATGTGCACTAGCTGGTTCTCAAATCTTGATTTGTAAAAAGCTACAGGAAAATATCATTACTGCCAATCTGACACAAGGCACAAATTACTGTTTTTGTACATGAATAAATGGATTCTACTATACTAAAGGGAATCTCAAGTTTACAGATTATCAATTCTCTATGAGTAAGCTGACACCTTCTGGCAAGATGTTAAATTACAAAAATCAGGATTAGAACTAAAAATCCAGACGTTTTCTCTTTCACCTTTCCTCACTTTGCTTTGCAGAGAGATTTATACAAAAATCAACAAACTGCATTTTTAATGGGAGGAATTTACGCAAGACTCCTCACTGCAAAATCTAATTGGAGAAATATCAGATAAATCAAGAATTCATGCACAGCCAATGCAGCCAAATTCGGAAATGGCAAGCGAAGCCGTTCTGAACAAAGCCCCATGTAACATTTTCTTCAAAGTTCAACATATTTTATTTTACATTCATTTCCACACCTCAGACAGGATGCACAGTATGACATGTACTTATGCACTGATAAAACATAAGACACAGTAATGATGAAAACAAATCTATTTTCCATCAGTCAAAATTTTAAGTTTGCACAGCCTTGGGGCTAAACCTGTTCTGTAATTCTGGAAGCAGAAAATGTGGTGCATGAGAGGAGCTATGTTGCCTCACACTCACTGACATTCATACAAGAAAATGCACAGTAAGTTTTAGCCAACATAACCACTATAGGCTGTTTCTCTTTTGAATGCACAGAAAAAAGAATGACTCTTAAAACCATCAGCAGATGGTATCTTCAGCAAAGCATTCAAAAACCCAGCTAGCATCTAGATCAGAACATTGTTTTGCTTTTTGCATTTGAAAATGACTCAGTAATAGCATCCTTACCCTAACCTTTATTGCTTTATTTTGCAATGCAGTCATGTTGCATATGCTTATAAACACCCCTTGAAATATTAGAAGAAACACAATTTAAAAGTAAAGTTTTTCCAGACTATTCAGGATGGACACCCTTAGAACTAAATGCAGGACTTTATAAAGTCACTGCAACCTTCATCCAGTACTTTTCAGTAGTTCTGCTCAGATGGCCTCATATTCTGCAACTGTTTTCCTAGAAAGTGCAAAGCCATGATCAACATTCCACTCTGATCTGAGCTGCAGACAGTCATATTATTCCAATCCTGTCAGAAAAGACCATGTTGACAACCCTACTCGTTTACAAGATGGTCCACAAATGCATTAGAGAGTAGCTGTTCATCAACATGTTGACTCTTGACACAACTTCAGAGGTATAACAACCCACTTGCATTTGTATTTCCAGACCCAGTTCTAGGCTTGCAACCCTAGCAGCTCACTAGAGAATAACAAGTGTGTGATCTTAGCCACAGAGGATCAGAAAAGTGTGCTACTTTCAGCCTTGTTGCAATTAAGTGGGTCAGCTACAAGATCAAAAGAATGCTTCTGTCATCAACACTATCAAAGCAGAAGATTTCAAGAACATTATTAAAACTTACTAATCTACAAGATAGAAAAAGAAGAGCAAAAACTTATCACTGCACCATAAGGAAAGCATTACATAGAACACATTTCTTATTCTTTCATTTCTACAGGCGTGCTGCTCTTTGCCTTCCTGTGAGGCACAAGAATGTAAATCTTTATGTGAAAATTCACCCAGCAAAAACAATCTAGTTCTGCATTGTATTTCACAACAACTCATTTTCTTTCTGTATAGAGCCCAAAACATATATAAGTTTTATATGTACATTAGGTAAACTGTTGTACAACAGAAGCTTAGTGCCTCCAACTGTAAGCAAAAAGCTGATAGTACAACCTGCTTTAAATGAGCATCATTAAGTAATACTTGTTAAGCACTAGTCATATTTTCAAATTCATATTCAACCTTATCTCCAAGCAAAAAAGATGACTTAATATTTTAACTAATCATGAAGGTTTAATCAGATAAGTTGTCATCCTCAACATTTTAACAGAACAAACACATAGCATATACTTTTGTAAATGCATTACTTACTTGCTAACTTCCTTATACTGTGCTATTTCCTCAATATAAAGGAGGTCATGCAACCGTGACTGATAGTTGGTCTTGGTCAATGATTTGTCCAGGACAGATTGTGTAAATAACTGGTCAGCAGATAGAGGGATTTGGTATCTGGTAAGAAGGCTCTTCTCCAATTCAGTAGTTTCATTAGGTTCAAATTCTACAATAGTCTTAGAAGTAGAATCCCAACGCTTAGCTGTAGTTAGTAGCTGTTGCCGTGCATGCATCAGGTATTCAAGATCTGAGTACATAATAGACAAAACAGACAAAGAGCTAAGTTACAGACGAACAAACACTACTAAAAATAATCCCATTAGAGAGAATGAACGAAGTGGAGGAGGTCTCCTCCACAGCAGTTTTAGCAAATTGATTGCCAGACTTACCATCCCTAATTTTCAGGTGTACACAGAGCAAGCAGGCTTTCAAATTACCTTAACAAAGGTCCAGGATTTTGGTTTTACAAGAACATATTAAACAGCTAGCACTTCATTCAAAATAAGCAGCAGCAGAAAACTGCTTTAAGACTCTGGAACCCTTCTGTACACAGAGAAGCAACATGAGAAAAGAAAACATCAGTGACTAATGCTAAAGACTATCTCAACTTCATCTACCTCCTTCACGTGGACTTGAATTGGCTGCTCCCTGTGCTGCTCCAGTTAGGTTAAGCCAGTGAGGACCCAGAACACACTAGTTTGACAGTGACTTTGCAAACAAATTGTGACTTAGTTTTTTGGGGGGCTTAAACAGTTTTAAAATAAAATGACACCAGCTCTTCCAAAACTTGATGTCTTACAAAAGTCTGTCAGCTATGATTACCCAAGACAGCTACATGAGGATCAGACAATAGTTCCTGAAAAGACCATTGCCTTGCTTCTAAGCATAGTATCTTGTTCTCAATACAATATCCTGTGCTTCAAGAGACACTACAACTTGTGCAACTTGTACAGATTTCCTGCTCTTTGGTCATCTGAAAAGACTCGTTTGTGTCTCTGCATTTGCTACTCACAGTTTCTTCTTGGTAATGCTGAAGATGTTAATCTCTTATTTGTAAACAAATCCTGGGAATATAAAACTGTTGCTTTCTTAGGGACATGTAATTTTTTAAACTTGAATAAACACATACACAGACAAAAAAAAACACATTTTCTTTGCATTTCCAAAATTTGTTAGAAGCAGTTTGTTGAGTTATAAACAAGAAGTTTGTCTTTTGCCTTTGACAAGTGCAGTCAGAGATTGCAAGAAAAAAGACACAGTCTTCTTTGATTAATGAATTATGAAGAATTTCTGTGATCTTTCTCACCTTTTTTCTACATGCTTAGCACTTTCATCAATACAAGACACATACTACAGTAGAAATTATCAGCTTTTTGACAAGATTTAGGAACCATATCCTGATATAGTATAATAATCCTACATTGGAGGACATTGCCTCCACTGGATCCAAGCTAATCTATACATTCTGAAGCTTCTGTCCACTATTTATTTTCATACATGTGATTAAGATAATACACAGTAAAAGTTATTCATTAGCTGTTAATACAGATGTTGCTCCACCCAGAAATGTGAAAAAAGAAACAGACAGCATTAAAAGCTTTCATTATTCAAGAATAAATTTTTTATACATTACCTTCAGTTGAAGCAGCATCGATCATTACTCGTTGCATGAGGACTGGTTCTAATCCAAAATCAAACACAACAGTTTGGCGAAAAGTTCCAAAGATTTCCGTGTTAAAGGCTATACTGACTTTGTATATATAGTGATCTATTCCATTCTGGACCATCTTTCCTCCTATCCATTCCTGACAGTTTTCTGGAACTTCTTGTGATACCTGGGTAGTGCTGTCTCCAGCAGATATTGCAATGATACTGAAATGTGGACGATGGGCATCATAAAGCAATGCCACTCGATACAGCATTCTTGCAGGCTATCAGAAAAAAATGCAAGGGTTAAAATTGACTACGTTGGAAAACAAGAATTATTTCAAGAGTATCTTTATTTGCAGTCAGACAATGACAGCTTACAAGAATTCTCAACTTGACAAAGCAGGTACAAGTCCTGCAGGCACAAGTCACAGTACAAACCAGGGCATCTGATACACAGCCACCAGGGCTGCTGGAGAAGTCATGGTGCTAGTGAATTGCTTTGTTTTAAAAAGAAGTACTACACAATTTTAATCACAAAAGGCTATGGAATGCATTCTCATTTTTATTACTCACTCAACGTCAAAAAAATAAGCAGTTTTACCTTACAAGTAAGAGCAAACGTCCAAGTTTGATGAGACTTTTTGGTGGTGACAGTTACTGATAGCTCAGGATTATGCTCTACTCTCACTCCTTCTATACTTTCACTAAGCTAGATTAAAAGAAAAAAGCATAGTATTAAACTTCTACAGACAAAGTCAAAATAAAAGCATTCAGGAAAAACACAGTAATTTGGAACCAAAAATGAAAAATAATGGTCTCTCAGATCGTGCAAGAATGATATAAGTCCTGTGTGGAAATTGAATATAACATTTCCTACTTCAGGGACAAGCAAGCCAGATCTACTATACCATATAGAATAGGCAGAGAGTATAATCATTTATGACAATTAACCACAGGACTTGATTTTCAAAAACCAACTTAACTGTACATATTTTAAGCAGAATATGATTATATTTGGAATGGAGGATCCAACACAATGAGGCCCCAAGACTGCATTTCCAGAAGACCCCAGATCTCAATGACATCAATGAGAACTCTAGAGATACCAGGAAATGAGAATGAAGCTTTCTACTCATTAATCCATTTTGCAGAAAGTCCACTCTTCCCAAACTTAAGTCAACAATAGATGGACCGAAAACTCCTTAGGGTCAGTGGTAAGTAGAGCTGGTCGAATGCCACAGAAATGTTCTTTGGAATTCCCAACAGCTGCTAGGATTCACCATATCCATACCCCTCACTCTTCAGCATTCAAACTTTTTTTGAACATCGGGGATTGACTTTTCTTCATTAAAGTGTCTGCAGCTGCAGGCAAAGAAAAGGAGCCATGCAAAAACAAGAGTATTCTCCACTAAGTCATGAAAGTTTCACCATTTATTGTTCTCCAGTTTAAAAGGTTTTGCCATCCACTCACGGAACAGAAACAATACCATGAGACTTGTCTGACTCATCCTGCACTAGGAATGGTAAATATGCAAAATGAGCACATTGTGATCAACCCACAAACTGTAATTCACAAACTCTACCATGAATTCCTGAAAAGGACGATTACATTTGCAGAAGTCAGTTCAAGTCTCTGGTATCTTTGCAAGAAGAGACAGCAGAGGATGGAAAGGGGAGCAAATTGGTTGGACAATTTCTTGGTAATGAGTAGCTCGACCAGCTCTGATAGTAAGGGCCAAAAACAGGCTCATCTGTTAGTTTAAAACATGAGCACATAGGGAAGTAGTATATTTTCCTTACCACTTTCTCAGGAGATAACGAATTCATCCATTTCTCAATCAAGGTTTCCATATAACTGCCCGAACACTGTTTGTTTTCCTTCTGCTGTTTTAATCTGATCAAGCGGGAAGCATATCGTTTTTGCCATTCTGTTAGCTCTTCCTGGGAATGTGCTGAAGTACACTGTGCACCGTACCTGCAGATCCCTTGCTCTAAAAATCTACATAAAATACGAAAAATGATTATGCCTTGAACTTTTCTTTCTCCAATTAAAAAGTGAAATTTATCACAATCTTACTTTCAAAGCCAGAAGGACATTCTGTAAAGCTTTTTCTGAACTAAAGGCAGTTTTAGTCAATGGGAATTAATCTGGACATGTATAAACACACACAGCATTTTGTAAGATAGGCAGCAGCCTCTCGTACTGAAAAGTCCAAAAAGATGTGTCAAATTTCTCTGAAACATACAGGGACTTCTTATAAGATTTGCAGCTCCAAAGAAGAATCAAATATTCGTAAAGCAATTAACAAAATGAGATCACAGACCATCCCCGAAATTACTGGGCACTGTATTAACATGAATAAAATGCTGTCACAAGTGAATATACAGCATAATTGCCTCCAATAGTTATGTCATCAGCTCTTATTTGCTCAATCAGCAGTTTTTCCCAGAACAACAGTGACATCACGTGGACTTATCCACTAAATACACCTACACAGAAACCTCTCAAGGAAAAGATTTATTCCCCTTGGTGAAGAGTGTATCAGTCCCAAAGGGTCTATTTTTAGAGAGGTTAAGGACTTCTTAAAAATTCATAGCATGAGCTAATGCATCTAAATTAATGATTGTCAGCACCTCGCATCATTGACAAACACAGAAGAAGTCATCAGTGATTGAAAAACATTTCCACAGTAAACAGATTATGTAATACAAAACACAGCATGAACTAGCATGTGAATTTTGAGCTAGCTGACAAGAATAGTACTTGACTACAACACAAAAACCTTGCAGAAAAAGCACCTGGATATACAGGCCACACTTTCATCACTAACTATAATATAATACCTTTCCTTTAAGAAAAATTTGTTAGAAGTATTTAAAGGTTTAAGTGTCAAATTTCTAATAAAATAAGCATGATATACACTATGATGTTACTGCAGATTTTCCCAAGCTATGATCCTCAATACCTTTTGAATGAAAATATTTTTCTTAGTAGGCAATTCCAATACAGTATCACACATTTTCAAATTCAGCTTTGCATTGACATATTAAATTGCTAAAGCATAATTGCCATTATCATGGCCCAAAGGAAATGGAGCACAAGTATAAAATATAATGTTGACCCATTATTATAAGGTATCTAGAATATATATATAATATATATAATTAGCAGCTCTAGAATATCACATCAAACGAATTCCAATTTCAGCAGAATTGAGTGGTGCCATCTAAAAAACAAGTTAGACTGCTACCCATGCAATAAATTCTACTCATTTTCATAAGTTATAGATAGAGCAGAATGAAGTGTGTAAGTTTTGTTTTTTTCCCCCCAATACAGTATTACATACGTAGTTAAAATTATATCAGGACAAACTACAGGCAGTACTGACAGATGGACTGAAATGGGGAGAAGAAACTTCAATACAACTAAAAGCTGTTGGACTTTCAGCAAGACAATTCACCTCTATGTGTTCGAATTGAGGTAAAATGGACATCACGAGATCTAGAGGGAAATTCTGCAAACATCTTTTAAGCAAAGATCACTTCTCAGCAAAGCCCACCTATCTGAAGGCATGCACCTATATGCTGCTAAAGTATGCTTCGCTATGCTTCCATTTGCTAACAATGCTGTCTATGGAAGTGAATTTCCAATTATACAAATTCAAAAAGGAAGGGGAAGAAGACAGATGTTGCTCTGCCTCTAGAAAAATGCTGCTCAAACCATCCTTAAGACAATAGAACTAGCAATTTTACCTTACAGAAAAACTGAGGTGCTTCTGCATAAACTGACTTCTCTAAAAAACTATGAATGAATCAACTCCTGTTCTGGTAAGTGCTTTCACATTTCTGAACATTTAATCATTCATTTACCAGCTTGATAAACAAGGAAGTGTTTTGATTCTTTTGAGAACGCTGGTATAAAGCAAAGGTGTTACCTTTTACATAGTGTATATTCTTCACTGCTTGTGACTCCCCTGGGTGGAGGGCGGAACTGCCAGCCATCCCGGGATCCTGCAGGATAGAAAAGTAACCCAAGTTCTGACTAATTGCCAATTATTTTTTAAGTCTGATAGTACCCAGAGAACTGTGCCTTTAAACATCAATCCAAAGTGTATTTGTACACACGCAAAATTATTCACCTTAAAAATAATCTTCAATTCTTAACAAATTTATTTAAACAAAGGTTTAAAGGGTATGAAGGCAAATTTCAATAATTCGCAGAAATAAGCAAGCTCTGGTACAAACTGACAAATAACTGGAAAATTCTGTCAACAAATTCAATCAATAATGAGATAATTCAACCTAAATCCCAAGGGTTCATCAAAATAAACAGTCAAGACTGATCTCTGGTGACTGCTATCCAGTGTTGAACATTCATCAGAATCTTCTAGGACTTCTCACTACAAAACTAAGTAGCTTTATAAATGAATTACATACCTTCTTCTAAATCTTCTACATGATATCCTGATGGAACTTTATCAGCTGCCTACAATTATTAAAAATACAGTTATAAAGGATCACAAAACAATTTCAGCAATGAGAACTGCTCTGGCTTCTTTACTTTTAAAACATGTTTTAGATCAATTGATACAAAAACATTCAGAAGTCTGAACTCAGTTATGGTCACAGAGGTGATTTTGTAACAACTAAATTACAACCAGTGATACAATTAATTCTGTCAGGAACACCCAGTCCACTCAACTTCACAAGAGAATTTTGGAGGGTTCCACCATGAGGAGTGTACTTTCATGTGGACTGCAAAACTGAAAAGGCCAAAAGTCCAACCTCAATATTGAGATGTCTCTCAGCTTTAAATCTATTATTACAAGCAAAACCCAAATCAGTGACTTAAAGCATAAGAAGCCAAAAATTAAAAGAAATGATGGAGAGTGTTTATGCCATTTAACTTAAGTCCTACATGTAACTTCAGAATCATTTCCAACAGAGAAAAATAAAATAAATAATATCATTAAAATGCATTAAATTCTTTCCACTCGCTACTTCTACCTATGAGCATCACTATTTTCTCATATATCATGAGAAACTGAGAAGAAAGGTTGCTAAAAAGGTGGTAAAGACCAACAGCCCAGTGGAAACTACAGTATCTAAACCAGCAGATGTAAGTGAGCCCTGACATGCTGGGATATTCTTCAGTTTTATCAGTTGCTACTCATTATTTTCCCAATAGCATGCTCATTATTACCTCTGTTTCAGCAAGAAGTGTTTTCAGTCGTGTCAGATCTTTAGTTACCATCCCGTTCTGGGGAGAGAAGTGAAGGAAGAAAATATTAACATATGAAACACAAACTTTCAAACTCATTAAACAACAGCAGGCGAGTTCATTCCTCTCATCACCAAAAAGAAAGGCAATGAGGAAAGATGCATTTGACTCACAATGCACAGTGCTAAATGATAGCTGCGTACAAGAGCAGCACACGTAGAACAAGTTGGAAACAAACCTCTTATGTTTGGCAACCACCCAAGACAGATAATCTTAATAGTGACATTACTGAATGCTATCATCCAGACCGATACCCCACACAAGTGGTGGCCATGGAGGCATGATGCCCCAGTGGACAAGGGCTCTTTGCTCAAAACTTCTGCTCTATTATCAGCTTGGCTACTGGCCTGCTGGGCCACCTTCTGCAAGTCACATCTTCATGCCTCAGCTTCCCACTTGCAAAATGTTGATTGTAACACTGCCTGCCTTTACACAGCACTTGGTAAGCTGCTGGCAGAACGCACTACACATCAGCCATATGCTATGGCTGAACACTTCAGCTCCAAAGGAATCAATATAATAAACTGTCACTGCCATTGCAGCAATGAATATATTTCTCCTTAAGGATGGTTTTTTACAGCCTACCGATTTCTGCTTCCACCTCTCTCTGCTCTGATGCAGACTATATCATTTTTGGATTTTTTCACTAAAGATAAGCAATGTAATGAAAAATACCTGCATGTTCAAGCATACATGAATTAAAATCATTCAAAAGTGAATTTAGCTCAAATAGATAACTAGTGTGCAACAGCTTTACACTCACGTAAGACAAAACATTGAAGACGACCTTTGTTTTAATTTCAGTATATTTTTGCAGAAATTTAAGTATCACTGCATTCACCAAACTTCTCCACATTTTTACTTTGTGACCTACTGAAAATTTACGTACTCAACAATTCACAAGCTTTGGGTTTTTTTTTTTTCAAAATCATTTCTCACTTCCTCAGTAGAAAGGTTGCAAATTGAACCAGCTGAGCTTAAATGTATTAAAGCATAAATGAAGCAACCAAGAGTCATTCTCTTTAAGTCACAGGGGAGGAAAGTGGATGGATTCCAGCTCTTCAATGAATTTCTTCCAAAACTTTGTTTCATTTCTCTTCTCATCCACTGGTGGAAGTCAGTAAACGAGTTTGATTTTAATATTCCCACCAAAAGCAACAGTGAATAATGACCTTAAACGTGTAAAAACCTCTTACATTCTGCTTTGTAACAAAACTCTGGAATCACATAGGAAGATACCTTTTGTACAATAGTAGTATCAAACGAGGCCACTGTACATTCCCTATGATAAGGAGTTTGGGGCTATTTTACTCATTTTTTCTAAAATCAGGTTTCCTTCAATCTTGCCAGGAATTTTTCAATGAAATTTTTTTCCCCGCTAGAAAACACCAGACAGACAAAGAACAATCTTTTATTTATGTAGAAACAGTCAACAGTGGGAGATGGAGAGAAGGAAAAAAGGAAGAAATTAGGATACATACAGCACAAAGAGACTACCAGAACATTCCCCCAGAAAAACCTACTGCTTAAGTCAAGCATCAAGATACAAGACATGGATTTCAGCTCACTGCAGGTTATTTTCTAAGTGAATGTCTAACTAGGGAAAGCACAATCACTCAGTGTGCACATTCATGTCTCTGGCTCGATTAACATATTTTTCAAAAGAAATGCTAAAAATCCATATTCATAGATATCTCATCAGGAAAGTGACTCTGCATAACTAATAAAGTATCAACACACAGCAGCTCATATAATAATACAAAAAAAAATTACACTTAAGCATTACAGTTTAATAATATTGAACATGATTAATCATTTAGAAATGTGTAATTACAAGGCAATGCTCGTGTACCGATATATTCCAAAAGAGAACTCGTTTTTATCTCCTTTTCCTTCCCAACACCCAATTTCAAGGTAACAGTCTCTCCTAGAACAGTTGATGATGTAACTTAACACACATCACAATCTGACAAGAGTCGCTCTTCCCTGCACTACAAGCCACGTCTCTGGCTTTAGCACCACCAGCAGTTCAAGGGGATGAACTGCATATTATTTAATCAAGAATAGAGAAATTAAAAGGATATCATTCTTTGGAGACTTACACACATCCTTAGTTTTCCCCATCTGAGCAGTCACATTTAAACCTTAACATCTTTTGACAGTTCAAGGGTAAAACAGAAGCCTTGATAAGATGAAGCGTTTCCCTGAAAAACTCTTCATGCTGTCTTACACTGTAGGCCAGTTGCTTAACAGTCTCATCAACATTTTTTTCTGCTTCAAAGGTTAAACTTACTGAAGTACACACACAAAATGGTGTCAGATGAGATCCAAAAATATAAGCTGAAGTTTGAAATTCACATTATTCTATTAAATTACACAAATACACTTTTTTTTGCTGCAACCTGCCAGTCAAACATAGGTTTGTTTTTCAAATACATCCCCCCAAAAACGGAAATACAAGACTGCTTTTTAAATTACACACATTGCAGGAAACACACTTACCAGTGATTCACCCATCAGTGATTTGGAAAGAACATTAGACACAATTTGCAGCTTCCCTTTAAGATGCATGCAGCAGAGCACTGCACGGAAAGATCCATCTCCCTTGGCCAGCCCCTCTCCCAGCACTGCAACACAAACCAGCAACTATTAGCTTCATCACAGCATACAGTTTTCCTTCACCTTTAACATGAAAATAATGTCCAAAATGTGGGTTCAAACCATGGCTTCTTTGAAAGACAAGTCTTGGTACTACTTGCTCATGCCTAATATTAACTTGAAACTTGTCTCCTGCCATCTAAGAAATGCTGTGCATGAGTCTCAAAAAAGGTTGTAATGTTTATATTCTAAAATAGACAAAAAATTAAATATGGGAAGGATAAATCCTAATATGTGACATAGACACAAAGGACCTCCTCTTCACAGAAAGGGGGAAAAAACCCAGCAACCAACAACTTCTCAGTAACACAAACATGCTCAGGAAGATCCATTCATGCTCACAAAAAGCATGCCCTGTAGTTTCCAAATATAGCTAACCTCGTCGTGGTCAATTCCTGTTACTTTAAAAGGGCTTTTATTCACTCATGCTGTAAAGTTCAGGATATAGGAACGATTGTTTCAGTCAAGAAGTTTACAAGCTCCACGTAACAGAAAACCTGCCTCATGTTTTCTAGCACTGGATCAGCCAGTGAGACAGACACTTTCACCAACGCTTCCAATAGTGAAAGGATTTATTTCATGACACAGCCTTGCTTCAGACCAGCAGGCGTAACATGTAATCATATATATTACCTGCCCAGAAAAAGCAATGCCCTCCTGAGCAACTGAAAGGCCAGTGAAGCTGAGCACGTGAGTTGAAAAGAAGGCTGAACAGTTGTTTAAAAAAAATAATAATTACAGAATTACAAATCTGTATTACTGTCATTGCAGGCAACATCAGCATCTGTGTTTATACTGCTATTCACGCAAACCATGGGTGTCAACAGCTTGTGTTAGTGCTAACAGGAATTTTACACTCGCCACAGCTTCAGGATTACATTTTAGAATAATAAAGCACAGCTCCTCACTCAGACGTTCACATCATTAACAGAAACTACATCAAATGTGACAGAAATAAGAGTCCCACAAAAACACGTACACAAAACTGATCAGACAGCCCATCAAAATGAAATGGTAACTAAGTACTGTCTTACAGCCTCTCCAGGATTACTCTAGATTCACCACTCTGATGATACTGACCACATTTCCAAAAATAGAGCCTACTTCCCAAACCAGAAGCAGCAGCACCAGAAATAGCTTCAGCACGTCTGACAGTTTGCTATTTTAGCCTCAAAGACTGGATGTCCAATTATGAAATTTTGTATCATTAACCACACAGTGCTACCCAGCTAAAACATGCAGTTGCACATAAAATGTTACAATACATGAACTAATTCCTTTTGTTAAAGATCTGTGTAGCAGCTTAATAGATTTCTTTACTATCACTCCTTATAACAGTGCAAGCACTGCACTATACAGAACATGCATTTCTTGGTTTACCCCAAAACAACTTATCATTCAAGGTCAAAGCAGAACAGTCACAGATATGCAACACACTGGGTTTGTAAAAAGAAACATAACTCTGTCTTCAAAAACAATTGTGAGCATCAAGAAATACAGTTAGGCCATACTAAGGTGCTTTCTTCCAAAGGATATTTCAAACGAAACTGGAGCAAAAACCTTTAAGGGTTACAATGAAAATACTCAGATGTTAGCCTGCAATCAATAACAGCACAACAAAGGGAACCCCAATCCAATTGCTGATTGCTATATGCATAAAAATAAGGTGTATATAATATACAGGAACACACACACACCACTTTTACATTGGCAAATAAATATGGCGTGAAGTTGATAAACGTCTTCAGTTTAAAATCTGGAAAAAATAGATGCAGAACTCTCTGGCATGAATTAAAGATATTAACACTACACTGGTCTGAGTCTTTATTACTAAGATACAAGATGGTTTCTCTAGATTTTTCAAATTTTCAAACGTACCCAATGATTGGTACTCCTATTCCACCCATTTCCATGCACAACTAGTGAGAGAAAGGAATAATGCAGTTAACACTACAGTTCACCTGAGATGCTGGTTTGTGACACATGTTGCCAGGAGAAGAAAAATGTTCAACAGACAAATGTCACCCAACTAACACTGCAACAATCCCATCAGATCACATCACTGAGAACACCATTCATTAAAAAAGGATTCTCCTTCCTGCCTCCTTTAAACGTCATTCTTCTTTCCATACATCTCTCTCTCTTACCTATTTGCCATCATGAAAGGCAACCTGGCATGTATCAACAGACCAAGAAAAGTCTACAACTTGGGTACCAGTGAAGACAAATGCACTTTAAAAAAATAAACACCTCTGCACAGAAACATCACAACAGTATAATCACAAAGTCCATGCAACAAAACTGTGGTTCCAGGAAATTTCTTTTAAAATTCAAGAATAGTTAAGAAACCAAAAACTAGAAGGAGGGATCTAGCCTGCTTGTTCTTCAAAATCTAACCAATAAACTGTTTACCAAATGTTTACCATACTCAGCAGAGTTCTCAGTAAGTACTGAGTTACTTTCCATATAAATCAGTTACAAAACATTAGCAAGATTGGTTAATTGCTTTAAAAAGCCTCAATTAAACAAGGCACAGAAACACAAAAGGCTCAACTTGAAGAGCCACAAGTTTGGAAGCTCCAGCAAATAAAGATGAACATAAGCACACCATCCTGCTGCATTTCTCTGAATCAACACCTAATATGCAAACCCAAATATTAACCAACAACCCTAGGAAGGACAGTTGTCTTTATCATCACATATCATCACAAAAATCCTATTATCATCAATCTATCCTACATCCATATAGTAAAATATCTACTAGCCCAAGAGCACCCCTATGCCAAAGAAAGCTGCTTTTCAGTTCTGGCACCTGAATGCGAGGTAAAAAATAGTGAGATCTCCTTAGAAAAACAAGTAGAGAAAGTGTTATAAAACAGATAAGTTTAACTTGCAAAACATCCCCTGTTAGCAAACCAACAAATTCAGACAACTGACTGCAATTTATAACACTAAATAGTAAAAGAAAGAAATAACCATACCATGCCTACAGTCTTCATCTGCTTGCCCATACTTTTTCTGAAAGGTAAAACATGAAAAGTTTAAAAATAGCATTACTCCACTTGGCATAAATAACTACATGTTTGAATTAGAAGTTTCTTAAAACTTTTATGAACTCATTGGCTCTTTTTTTCCCAGGATAGAACATGTAAAGAACATCAGTCACTTGACAAATCCAATCTAATGAACCTGTACAATGCTGATTTTGTCCTCAAATTCTCAGCAAATTAATATTTTAAAAGAGCTATGTGAATGTGCAAAGGCACGTGTTTATGTACCTATCTGTAGGTGGCTCGCAGCATCCAGAAAAAAACACTCAACTTTCTTCCTAGACTCTGGATTAAAAAATCCAACTGCTGCTAATATTGTGCTGCTGGAATTTCTAGGGTCTGTAGTTTATTTGCTGCTTTATCAATGGTGATTTTAAACACTACATTTTTTGCTAAAACACAAAGGAAAATAAGACTTTTTTCTACTTAAAAATCTGTATAAATCTTTAATACTTAAGTACTTAAAGTATCTATGTAATTCTTTAATAGCGAGGTTTTGATTGCAAGAGTTTTCCAAAATCCCTAAAGGCTTACTGCAACAAATGTCACTATGTTGAACATCCAGACAGGTGCCTCAAAGCATTTCTAGAGGCATTCAGGTCAGAAATGTGTTAAACACTGCTAAGCATCTATCTGCCTACTGACCTATGGAAATGATTTTGAGAAGTCCATCTGTGGGAACACAACTGCCACTAAAAAAACAAACAGAAAAACCAACCCAGCTATATGATAGGTCACATCTAGACTCAGGAATCTTCCCAATTCTTGTTTTGCACATGGAATAGCTAACTATCTATTTAAAGAATGCACGTGATTTATCTTAAAGGCCACCAAGGTCTTACAAGTCGGCCAAACATTTTCCATGTGAGATGATGTTGTTCATAACCAATACGTGAAGATTTGAGGACAAGAAGGCCCCTGTAAATCTGTAATAACAACATTTCCAAAACAGAAGGGTAAAGAAATTAACCATTCCAATGCCCTTTCCCTTAGGGAATTGCAGCATTCTAATGCATTCATGGAAAAACCACACTTTTGGTAATGGCATCACCTACAATTCAGGGACATGCACCTTGCCTTGCATTTACAAAAACCCTTACAAAGCTCCCAGTTTTCACATTTCCATTCAAAATCCGCCAGAGCCTGAGAGTTACGTCTTTCAGCAGACATGCTCTAGCCTAGCAATGGAAAACTAGCAGTGATCAAATATTAAAAGACTACTGCTAGGTTATGCAAAAACAGCTAAATTAAGTATGAACTGGTTGCCTGAATTCTGGCATTTCTTAACTTTGGTTTTTGAGCATTTACATCTATAACTTTAATTTAATGTTCTTTAAAGAGAAGGTAATTTGGTATGTCGTTCAGCATAGCTTTATGAACATAGTACTCAAAAACAGTTATTTTTTCCTCTTAGAATATATTTTGGATTTTAAAAAATGATAATTCTCTATTATTTTAAGAAACTGTGATTCAGACCCAAATTATTTAGAGGTACCGATCTTGAAAAAATAAACAGATCAGGGAAAACTACGAGACAGAAGCCTCAAATGTGTTTTAACAATGAGGATTCTGTGGCAAACCAGTATGGCAACTACAGGAAAACACAATTTTATTTAAATCTTGATGGTACAAGATACTTGATTGTTCTTTCCAGTTCATTAGATACTATGAAAGAGTCACACTCACAAGTTGTAAAAAGGAAGCAATTCTATACAGCAGAGTCTCGATTTTGATGCGGTCGATTTCTGCCTGGCATGCCTCCGGGAGGTGAGCTGGGGGGTACTGGCTGAGGGAAAGGAGTGCCTCTGTGCAATGCTTCACTGCCACTTCATAATCCTGCTGCTTAAGGGATTCACATGCTTGTTCACATGACTTCTCTGGTCTTCTGTCTGCCATGACTCAGGGACAGAAATCCTAGAGTGGGGGCAGAGGGGATGATAAAACGTTGGTTAGCTGCATGATGGCAGTGACAACTTGCCAACCAACTGCCGTTCCCACCTCCAGGTGCTGTAGCACATCCCCTTTGGTCCACGCCACTTGTGTTCCCTATCCCAACCTAACTAACCTCTTCCCAGTCTTCTTTCCATGCTCCTACTCACAGCCATCCTGGCTCTCACTTTCAATTCTAATTCAAGAAGGTACTTAAGCCCATGACTGATTTAAAAAAATATGTAGTGGTTTCAAACTTCAATGCCAGCATAGGTTTAAGCACTTTGCTGCATAGAGGCTTCTGTGTTCTCAAGTCTGCTTTGGAAGCAATGCAACTCATCCACCAGCCACTTCTCTGAGCCTGCAGTGCTTTCCCCAAGATACCTTCAGTTTCAGAGCACTCCTCACCTACTCCTAGGGCACATGGGCCAGCCTCTGGGGTGGATGAAGCACATGGGATGGACACAGACGGATGAGAAGGAGCTGGAGGTCAGCAGGAACCCACGCAACGGCTCCTGCTGTGCTTTAGTTGCATTGTCTGAGAAAGCCTAGGTGCCCCCACACACCAACACCCTGCCAACAGAACCCCTTAAACAGTTCTGAAATAAACATTCTATGGGGGAAACTGAAGCAGTGACAAATCTATAGAGAAGGCAGACATCATCATCTGCCAAGGAACTGAGACAAATGGTTACCCACAATGGAACCTACCCACAGAAAAACAAAACCTTTCCATAATTCCTATCTGTGGTGTGCCTTCATTGATAATACTTAGACACATCTCTAGAGACATTTACTTCAAAGCTGACTTGACAAAAACACGTTCTGATAACCAGAAGAGGGAACCTTAAGAGTTCTCATATTGACTGTTAGCAAGCAGCACACTGCCCATATCCATGACGTGGAACTGCCACGAGCATCTAAAGTCACTCTCCAACCTCCTTGAAAATTCCACTACTAAAGCCTTCCTTTACATTTTACAGTCACAGATTTTTAATCAATCTAAGAATAACTTCAAGAAATTATCTGAAAAATCAAATAAAGGTATCTTCCATGTAAGGAAAGCTCCTCACGACCCCACTTTTCTCACTAACAACCATCTGGGCCAACACACAGTGTAAACGTAAGCAAGAAGTTTAATACAATACGTGACAGCATTCCATGTTCCCCACCATTCTTAAAATTTCACTTTCAGTATCACAACAGAAACACGTAAGGGAACACCGACTTCTGAATACAACACTGACTTAAACCACATTCCCTTTTACAACATTTATATGAAAACATCTCACATCCACCACAGTAGAGGTGAAGGAACACAGGTATGAAGTAGCTTTTGCATTTCCATGCAGGTGAGAAAATCCATCTAAGGAGTAACCACTTTAACACTCAGTTGGATCACCTAAATAAGCACACGTTTTCAGTCAGAAACGTTAAGTGTTGTTATGTTTATGCAAGGAACCTTCTGTGTACAACTAAAAACGCAACAGATTTCTGCCATTTCACTCAAGTTCAATAGCACAGCAAGCTTTACAAATCCAGGATTTGCTGCACAGCAATACAATAGTTAATTGATGCCTTTCTCACGTACTTTGTTTTCCTCCCGAGGGACTGAAAAGAGAGGATTTCATGAACTCTGCTGTACTTCTGATTTCCTCACTTCCTGGCTGACGAAGAACCAAAATTCCTTTGACCAGAAGTCTCAGCAAAGCTTCTGTGTGTTTACTGCACAAGAACAGTTTATACACAGATCCCACGCTGGCCAGCACAACCAGCAGGCAGAGGGAGGCTCCTTTACCCAACCCTTCTTCCCCACCACGGCACTACAAAAAGCAAAATGTTAATTTACCAATTGCCTTACGCTGGCTGTTTCAACAAACACTGAACGAGTTTGTGGAGAGGTCTGACAACCCCAGCAGCAGCCACAAATTTCTCTGGTCAGTTGTAGATTTGGAGAGCACTGCAAAGGACGTTGTATTCTCAGCTCTTTGAGCAACTGAGCAAATGACTCATGCACTTCAGTCTTTCTGCCTGCTAAACTGAGATTAAAATACGAAGCATGCAGCAGAATAAATGTCAGGATTATTCATTTTCTCAAAATGGTTTGGAGGACTGCATACCAAAAGAGCTGCATTCACATCTGAATTATTATTTATTCTAATGGCAAACTTCAAGAGATCATCAGAATTCTGCGAAACCAGTTAACAGGCATATCCCCACTATCTGAAGTTACACATCTGAAATAAGCAGACCTTAGAAATTCAGCCACAACATATTAGCATCAACACCTTTGTTATCAGCAGCCAATTCAAAGCATTCCTCAGCTTCAAACCACCTCGCAGCAGTGCAGCTGCCCTACAGGAAGGCTTCTGATTTACGCAATTAAGTAACATATTTACGCACAGCACCTGCAAATGCTGCCAGATAGAACAGTAAGCATCACACTGACCTGAGCACATACAGGAGCTGGCAGCTCTTCCCCATGAGTTAATGCAGAGATGTAACCCTCACTTTGTAATTCCTACCTCTAAAAACCTTCTCCCACTAGTAGAAAACTTCCTGACCTACATTTATTTCAAGTCCAAGTTATGTCCAGCTTAACCTCCACAAAACATCTGCTGTCTCTATCATTTACAAGATCTAGCTAACTCCAAACTGGTGTAACTCAAACCCCGGTGCCTGGTTTTGTTTTGCCTGGGATTTGTGAGAGACTTTCTCCCTACTAATGATTTTTGGGGGTCAATTTTCATAATGCGTATTTCTCCTTCTTGCCAATGAGATTCTGTAAACAAACAAACAGAGTAATCAAAAGCTAATCCCCAAATAAAACTGCCCATTTCCCTTCCAAACTGCAGGGTGGGCCAGGAAAGGCAGAAGGGACAGCTTCAGAAGGAAGAGCTCCAAACCAGACCACCTACACTGCCATTTACTTCCCAGTGAACACTGCCCTGCTTGGTGCACAGATTTTTGGAGAATTATTCCACAGCCTGATCGGTTCAAATGCAAACCAAAAATGAGTAGGACAGAACATCATGATCTAGAATTTCAGTATTTCAGAGCAGTTTAACTCCTGACTCTGCACTTCTAAGCTGCACAGTTTACTGATGTATTTTATGCAACCAAAGGGTCCACATGCTAAGATAACGGTAAGATAAAGTAAACGACAGTTCCAAACAAATTCAAACAGATGATTTTTAGTTCACTCTAAAGCATCGAGCCACATAACTCCTGCTGTACTTCATAAACAAACAGATTAGAGGGTACAATTCTGTTCCTATTAATGCTATTGGCAAAATTCCCAATGTCTGCCAAGACAGAAGGATCAGATCCAAGGTCTCGCATGCCAAGCTGACAAATAGCAGACAGTAAATATTTGCATATTTTAAACAGACATTAACATCTCTTGTGAAGATTTATGCTAAAGCAATGATGTTCAGCTCGCAGTCCCACAGCGAGACCGGAGGAATTCGCCACAAACTGAATGATGCTCTGAGGGCCACGAAGTGGGATCTGTGCTCTGTAACACATGTTAGACCCAGGGCCATGGGCACACAGAGTGGAAGAGCCTTTCCAGCTGCCTCCCATTACGAGGCACAGCTCTGCTGGCAGCAATCAGCACCCACCTGCTCCCTGCCAGAGCCATCAGCTGTGCCTCCTGCCAGCATCGTGCTGCAGGATGTGTGCCACCCCGTGCTGCAGGCTCTGAGAAGGAACAACAGTAAGTCAGCTTGGGAAAGGTATACGGTCACCGTGCTACTTCTAAAGACTTGCAGATAACTGAAAAGGCTGCTACTAAACAGGACAATAAGGAAAACCACAATTCAGCTTCTTACTGATACCCAGAGGCCAATTCTTGCCACGTGCTGCCATCAATTCAGACAGAAGATGTTGTTCCTAAAGATCATTTGTTAGTAAAAGAAAAAATTTATTTTCTTGCCCATAATAATAAAGGCCAAAAACTGCATTCATGAGCTTAGCTGCTCAAGAATCCATCCATCAGTTTCCACGTTTCACTAAAGCAGTCTCCAAATCTTTTAGGAAAGCATTACACTTGGCATAACTTTCTGAAGTTTGTTTCTGGTAAAACTGAGATGTAAGCAATTCACATATGAAGGTCTCAGAACTGTGAGAATTGTTTCCATAATACAAAGAAGTAATATTTGGGAAGTCAGACAGCTGGGAAGGACACAGCATTGTGACTCAACAGCCCTTACTTCCATCTACCTCAAAATTATCAGGAAAAGACTGACAACAAATTTTAATTCATACAAGGAAAAGCCTAGGTTCATTTTATGAGCTGGAGTAAGTAAAATACATGAGATAATGCTATACAACACAGATGTTAGCTATCATACCTGTGACTGCAACATCACCATACTTAAAAAAAAAAAAAAAAAGAATAGATCACTAGAGCTCAACTATAGAGACACAGCAAACATATTCTATTTGTCAGTCCACATACAAAAATAGAGAATAAATCTGTTTACTGCTAAACCACATTATACAGCAGTTCCGGCATCTCTAGTGAGTCCAACTTAAGGTACCTCTACATCACGTCATGTAATTGTTTTTGTAGTATTCTGAAATACCACTCAAGTATCTTTAGATAAGAAAAATATCAAATTATTTACTTCCCTTACATAAAATTGTAAAATGAATTTACTTTGTGTTTAGACAAAAAGGCATTTTAGGCAAGGTTACAAGAAGGAATATAATACAGAAGCCACTTATAGACATACATAGACCAAAAAAAGTACTTCCATACTACATATACATCATAAATAATCCCATCTTCAGAAACCATTTAATGAAGTGAGAGCAGATAATGATTGTGCACTGCACCAATGTCAAAGGTGTAACAGAACACAGAGGAAAAGGACAGTGCCTTTCTCGTGCAGAAAAGAATAACAGGAAAGGTTACTTCTGGGCTTTTTTTGGTTTTTAAAACAAGAACATAAGAGCTGAATTCTTATGCACTCATCTACTGCAGTTATGGCTTTAGTCAGTAACACACACACAGTGCTCAGAAATGCACTGTGCACCTTACAGAACACACACAAAATCTCCACCCTTGAGAGAGGACAATCTAATCAGTTTTCTAAAATAACCAAATTACTCTGGTTAATGCTGTACAACTCCAGGCAAAATGACCCTGCTTTACATTCCACAAATGATATGAAATCTGAAATGGAGCATACAGAAGGAGAAAGGCTTGTTTCAAGGTTTTATCATATAGCATAACAGCAGCAAGAACTTGTGCTGCTTCGCCTCTAGAGAACATGATATGCTTGGCTACGAGGGGGGGGGAGAAATGAATAGTAGAGAACATCATGAACCTGTTAAATATACAGGTTGTCCTTCCATTTCAAGAAATACAAGAAAAAGAGACAGGACTGTAAACTAGGAGGACAGGGGATCTCTGGCCACACAACTGCAGCCTTCAGTCTGATCCTGTAAACTTAATACATGGCATAAACACATCCTCAGCCACTGTATGAGGAACAAGTGTCTGTGGGTGGTTTACCATTCACTTACCAGCAGTACAGAAATACAGCAGCAACTCAGATTAAATGGTTTCTGCATCTGAATCCTGTGCTCTTTAAATCACTTTACATTCATCACAGATGGGAACAAGTTAGATTTTATTGCATGACAGCTAGCATTTCAGTACAGATCCTTTATTAAGTGATCATTAACAGATTATTATGTCCACTAATCTCTACTGTTTTCACTTTGGAAGCAGTAGTGGAAAGAACAATTTATGTCACAAATTGCACAATATTCACACATGGACAAATTGGCCATCTTTGGCCTAACATCCAAAATTAACTCCTGCTCTTAGCATTCATAATTTGTAATCATCCCATCCAGCATATGAATATCCTGAGTATCTTCATCTCCTGCCTTTCAATATTTCTTTTTTTTT